TTTTCGTTTTACTATTAAAATCTTTAAATGTTCCTCGGTTCCCGCCTCCTTTCCACAACAAACCCCGTTAACGTTATATTGGCAAACTCATTAGTGAATTACACTGAGCGTTTATACTCTTTCTAATGAAATATGACTTCCTGCTTATCGTGATGCAAAATGACGATGACAACGCAAAATGACGATGCAAAATGACGATGATTATCGTGACGCAAAATGACGCAAAATGACTTCCTGCTTATCGTGACGCAAAATGACGATTTTTTACGTCACGATAAGCAGGAAGTAAAACACTTAAATCCTTATTTCTCCCATCTCAGGGGAAAATAAGGGACTAAACCGACCATTTAAAAATATGACTGGGTTTCTAAAGATGCAAAGCTGAATGCAAATGGGTGAAGTGAACCTTTAATTTGTTGTTTGCTCATCTAGATTTAATTGAATATATGGGTCAAAATCACTATAAAATGCCTTTGGTGTCCTCATCAGAATCACTCAGTTATTGTGATCATAATGCAAAATAATGAAATACTGATGCTATAAATCAACAAACATTTACACACTATAGAAGTACAATGATAAATCTCTTGAAATGTGTTTTTCCTCATTTTATACCATTTTCTTTGATTGGATGTAGCCATGTGACTTGGGCATGTCCCACACCCTGCTCAGCTAACTTCAGTGAGTGTAAAAAGTGGATAATTGACAACATTTTAATAAATTCGATAATGTATATGCTATTTTCATAATTCTATGAAACATACGTATGTACATGTATGTTTAGTTTAACTGAGTTGGGGTGCCGTGGGGAAAAAACGTTACTTGGCGCCATGCTTTCAAAACGTTTGGGAACCACTGATGTGGAACAGCCGTCAACTATCAAAAGAACAACAGACTGATGTATTCCTCTGACTGAATCTCTTTCTTTTTCTTCTTCAGTTGTGTCTGGTGATGATGAACTGAAGTCAGTGTCAGTGATGGTGGGAGATTCAGTCACTCTAAACTCTGGTACTAATATACAGAGAGATGATGTGATAGAGTGGAGGTTTGGAGATCTAAACACTCTTATAGCTGAAAACAATAGAAAGACTGGAATCTTCTCCACATCTGATGGTCCTGATGGGAGATTCAGCGACAAACTGCAGCTGGAATATACGACTGGATCTCTGACCATCAGGAAAATTGAATTCAAACACTCTGGATTTTATGAAGCTGTTATTAGGAAAAGCAGCAGCGGACACACCATATACAAGTCATACAGCGTGACTGCCAGTGGTGAGTTATCAACTCTATTATAGTAATAATAAATCCCAGCACCCTAGAACAGCTTAAATGAACATTTATTTGGACAAAAATAAGGCTAAGAAATATGTATGTGGGAGTTTAGTTTAGTTTTCCTCAAACACTTGATGATTATGCTGAAGTGATGTTCAGAATCGAGTGCTTAATATCATACATCATTTGATGAATTAAATGAAAAGTGGAGATCTGAATCATTCTGTTCATCAGTTCACAAACACCAGTGAAAGTGTGTCCTTACTTGCTAATCTCTTTGGATAAAAGCGGCCCTTTACAGACTAATTAAAATTAACATTATTGTACAAGACTTGATTATTATACATTTTGTTAACTGAAATTATTAACTGTTAAACATTTTCAAGCATGCTTCTAAAACTATACCATGCCATTTTTTATTATTAAAAAAAGAATAAAAATATTATTAATTAGAGAGTGCAAAAAAAAAAATCCATCTTTCAAACCATGTCTTTACTCTTATGCTCATTAATGACTTCATTTAAACAGAACCAGATTCATATTTACTGTTTTAGCTACATTTAGGCAAATTTAACTTATTCCATCCAAACCATATTTATCTTTACTACTAATAATTTTGTATTTGATCATTTATGTAATTGTTAATGTAGGCTGGATTTTTTTTTCCCAACACCTTATTTTCAGGTGTGCGTAATTATTAGGCACATTTTCTTTTACAGATAAAATAAGCCCAAAAAACAGACTAAATTAAAAGACTGAAAAAGTCAAAAATTATGAAATGCCCATGAGAAGGATGCAAGACAATGCAGTTAAGGCATGACTATTGGACCGTGAAATGCTCATTGGGTCAAAAGCGCTTACCATAAAGTCTGTTTTCCAGAGATGGACTGTAGCAAATTAGCTCTATGAAATATTAATAACCAATCATAACGTGTTATAATGATTATGAATATTTGGATCAGTTAATCTTTGATTAAGTTGATGTAGCTACATTTACATTACGACCAATTACCCAGTTCATCCTGTGAACCCTCAATATTGGTTATTAATTGATTAATATAAATGAACATTTCCGGGGCATGGGAAATGTCTTTCTTGTACAGTACTATTCAGAGCCTATAGCCAAAAATCTATGATTAGTGACTGGATATGAGCTTGATCAATCAATATCTCTTACTGTATCTCCTCAATTATGAATGTGGGGAAATGCTGTGTAATAAGTGGTATGACTCTAACTGTTATACCATATTTCTTAAATGTCCGTCCAGTTTGAACTAACAGCTGCTCCCTCCGCGTAAGCTTTGCGTTTAAAGAGATAATAAAATATTTAGACTTCGATCAAAATTTTGTTTCTAATTATTTACTTGTGTTTCAAGTAGCCGTGTAATAAACAGGATTACATTTACATTTATTCATTTAGCTGATGCTTTTATCCAAAGTGACTTGCAATTGCTATATATGTCAGAGGTCGCACGCCTCTGGAGCATCTAGGGGTTAAGTGTCTTGCTCAGGGACACATTGGTGTCTCACAGTGTATTTGAACCTGGGTCTCTCACACCAAAGGCATGTGTCTTATCCACTGTGCCATCACCACCCCACAGGATAATGTACATCCAGCCGGTTGTTCTCTCAAAATAAACCCCTTCACGCTGATGCAAGACTTCCTGTCAGGGGTTTATTCTCAGATAACAACCTATAGAGAGCCTAAGTCCCGCCCCCACGCTTCCGGCTCATGGGACCTTATTTTGGAAAAAATATGAATGGTAGTCAATGGTGAGAGACAACTTATCTTTTTATTCCGTCTGAACTGTGCCCTCAATTACACATATGATGTTTGTCAATTTAAAAGATAATTCTGAAAGTCAAAAACGTCACAGTTTGTCATACAACAGAAGAGTAACATTTAGTTTTATGTGAAAATCGCTCAGTGAACTACATCTCCCGAGAAGAGAAACGAGATCCGCTGCTCGTGTGTGTGCAGTCTGGTACAAAACACTCAGGTAGGACGGCGTAACATTACGATTATAACGTAAGACTGTAGAAACAATGACAGACGTTAGCCTCAGTAAAGTTAGCTTCATTCATTGAGAGAAAATGTGCGCCTTTGGGGTTTGTAGTCTTTGTAATTACGTATTTTCACAGTCTTATACCTCAACAGTTTTACATCAAACTGCGACTTTCTTTACTTTTAAATGTATCTTTTAAATTGACAAACATCATATGTGTAATTCAGGGCACAATTCAAACGAGATCAAAATATTTGTTGTCTCTCGCCATTGACTACCATTCAATATTTTTCCGAAATAAGGTCCCATGGTGTTCGACCGGAAGGAGAGGGAATTATCTCTACTTATGTATTAACTAACAACAACTAAACATGAGCTTTACATTTGATGCTGTATTTACAGCTGTTGTTTTTATTTCACAGTGCATTCATGTTAACAAACATGTTTGAATTTAGTAATGTATTAGTAAACGTTGAAATACTCAAATTAATAAAAGCTGTAGAACTAATGTTCATTCTTAGTTCATGCTAACTAATGAAACCTTATTGTAAAGTGTTGCTGATTTATTCTTACTTGTAGATGAAGAAACATCTGCATTTTTTCTTTTCCGCGACCTTCCTGATAATGTTTTATCATTTTTAATCAATCAATTAGCAAGCTTAAATACTAAATCATTATTTTTCATTATATTTATTATTATTTTTGATTAGACATTTTTACAGGTATTAATAAAATTATATATTTTTAATAATAGTAAATGGAGCCCCCCCCCCCCCCCCCCCCCACACACACACACAATATCGTTGCAAGCCACTTGGAGTGTTTAGTATTCAATAAACTAATGTTTCCCTCTATCATTTCATCATGAACATGTTTCCCTTTTTAATTTTCTGCCCCAGGAAATGTCCTATTAGACTTAAATGTGCCTTTTTGACTAGTGAAGGTTTGTTGTAGTAATTAAACTCTGATTTAATTGAGCTTTATTATTGTGAGATGTGTTAACTGACTTTCTGTAGGCATGTTCTGAGTGTGTGTTTGTCAATGATCTTCATGTGTTTGTATTACAGGGGAAATTAAGTCAGAACTATCAGTGTCAGTGGGAGTGTCTGTCACTCTAAACTCTGATCTCACTGACATACAGAGAGTAGATTTAATGCAGTGGATGTTTGGAGACTCTCAAATAGCTGAAATAAGTAAAGAAAGCGGTCGATTCCTCACATCTGATGGTCCTGATGGGAGATTCAGAGACAGACTGAAACTGGATCGTCAGAATGGGTCTCTGACCATCAGAAACACCAGAACTAAAGACACTGGACTCTATGAACTGAAGATCAGCAGCATCAGACACACTATACACAGGAGAATCGCTGTTTTTGTCACTGGTGAGTCGATCGTTTCTGCCAATATGATGATGATCCTGTTATTGAGAGCTCTGAGAAAAACCCTGAAGTTAAATAAAGACAGCACAAGTTAGCACTACTTTAAACTGAATTTAATTAGTTAAAAATAAACTCTGTATCTTGAACTGTTTAAGATTTTGCTGCAAAAAAACTATAAGATATTATTTGAATATTATTATTTGAACTAACAATGTTTCAACATTTCATTCTTGAGACAAATTTTATAATTAACATTTTAGTTGTATTTAAATGATTGATAACATTGATCAAATTCATTACTCTAATGATCAAACCAAAATTGCAAGTACTTGTATGTTTTCTCTAATTTTTAATACAAGTATTAAAGACTAAGAATAAATTACTGTTTGTAATATCTTCATTGAGATCAGTTGTGTGTTCACATCAAACACCGGCAGTAAAACAGAAATACAGAAGATGAACAGTGAAAAGGAGAATCATGATCTCTGAAATTACTCATTTATGATTCATCTTTAACAGAATCAGATTCATATTTAAGTAGATCAGACTGACAGATTCACTCACACTGATGACTCTCTCTTTATCATCACAGATCCAGGTCTGTCTGCAGGTGCTATAGCAGGGATCGTTCTTGTTGTTCTGCTGGCGTGTGGAGCTGCTGGAGCTGTTGTGTTTTGCTATGGCCGCAAGATCTCTGAACTAATAGCCTGTGAGTATTACAGCTGATAAAACCAGATAAATACTTGGGCTTTATATATGCTTATTATGTTTATTATACAGTAGAGATTAAAGTTTAAATGTTTGTTCATAATCATGTTTCAAACATTTTACATTTCTATGTGTGTGTGTTGTGTTGCAGTTTTACTCATAAAAGCAGGGTGAGAAAGAAACATCATTAATACACAGATATTAAGGAGCACTGACCTGTGGGTTTGTTTTAGAATGAAGGGCTCTGAATATATTTTTATATAACTATTTTATTGTAATAATAATAATTATAATAATACATTTGATTTGTAATGTGCCTTTCTCAGACTCAAAGCGCTACAGTACAGAACAAAACAATCAGACATGAGGATACAAATAAATATAGAAAGAGTAAAATATACAACAAAATAATACAATTACAAATTGAAAGCTTGACTAAAAAGATGTGTCTTAAGAAGTTTCTTAAAACAATCCAGAGAGTCAGCATCACTAATAGTAGTAGGTAATGTGCTCCATAACTTTGGTGCGTTGTAGGAAAAGGCCCTTCTCCCCACGGTTTTTAATTTACAGTGAGGCTGACACAGAGAGAGAGAGAGCGAGCAGAGAGAGAGTGGGAATGGAGTAACTAAATCACAGATGTAATCTGGACCAACCCATGTACTGCTCTACAGGTTAAAATCAGAATCTTAAAATCAACACGTAGCTGAACTGGAAGCCAATGCAGTTGCTGGAGCACAGGTGTAATGTGATGGTGTTGGGATGTATGAATCAAGACACGTGCGGCCGAGTCTTCTATATATTGTAACCTCCTAATAGAATTTGCTGGTAAACTGGCAAAGAGAGAATTACAGTAATCGAGCCTTGATGTGATGAAGGATAAGCCTCTGTGCGTCAGGCCTACAGAGAAATGGTCTAATACGTGCAATGTTCCTCGGATGGAAAAAAGCAACTTTCGTTATGGTTTTAAAATGTGAATTAAAAGTTCACATTTTAAAAGTTCACATCACAGCTGTCTGTAGATGTGAACCATTTTTCTAAAAACTTAAAGAAATACATTCTTGAGAACCAGCTGTGTCACCATCAGTGCGTTTAATGTATACATTATGAGTAGAGATGGTCTTTTAAATATGTTCTCTCATTTTGTATCTGATTGTTTTTATATGATTTTCATAGACTAATATGTGTAGCTGATATTACTATTGATAGTTGTTTTGCAATGTTTTAATGTCTTAAATTGTGTGCACCTGACTGCGGATGAAAATTAGCTTCGGCTAACTCTGGCACAAAGCATCTCTTCTCTTCGCAAGACTAATGTATTTTGTGCATTGTCTCTGATAAATAAATAAAGGAAAAAGAAAAAAAGTTAACTGGGCATCAAAAATCACACCAAAGTTACGCACCTGGCCAGAAGGGGACAATTGGGTATTGTCAACTGGAAGTTTAAAATCCTTACATTTACTGACATTAATTGGAGTGCCACACTTTTTAAAATGCATGAAGTTTTCTGTCAGGGTTGGTGTTAAAATACAGTATTTATAACCAGCTTTAACAACAGACTTCTGTGCAACGTCCACATTCAGATCGCTGAGTAGACTTGTGTGTCAATCATAACTGATCTGATCCTGACTGCTTTCACTCAGGTTCTGTGAACTCTTCATCTGCTCAGGGTCAAAGTTTAAGCCAGCTCAGAGTAGTTTATGATGCTTTTCATACCAAAGAGATGGAAACTGTTAATAGAGAAGTTATAGATGTATTTAAATGATAGTAAATACAGAGCAATAGCTTTGAGTGTCACAGATGCTAAAATAATAAACAACGTATCAAACAAAACCTGTGATTAAAATCAGAAACTGCCCAACGTGAAACACATTTAGCAGATACTTTTATTTAAAACAAGAATCACTTCATTAAGGATGAATAGAACACAAAACAGATAAAACACAGGCTATGAATAATGTTGAAGTATAATAATATATACTTCATATATAATGTGTTATATGTGAAGTATATATTATTATATTATATTATAAATAATATAATGTGTAAGTTTATATAGTGCCTGTGCTTCAGGGTTTAATGATCAGTCATTGGGTGTCAGATGTGGAGTGAATGATCATGTTGATTTTATTCCTTTATTGTTTTTCTTCTCCAGCTAATGTCTGTTCTGTGTTTCTCTGTTTGTGTTTGCTGATGTGAAGGGGCTTATGAAATGACTATGCCGTCAGTGATTGTGGGAGAATCTATCACTCTAAACCCTGATGGAGTACGTGAAGATGACAGATTACAGTGGATATTTAGAAGCTGTTGTATTGCTGAAAGGGGAAGCGGTGCTCATAGTTCCACTGTATATGATGATCGTCCTGATGGGAGATTTAAAGACAGACTGAAGCTGAATCCTCAGACTGGATCTCTGACCATCCCAGAAACCAGAACCACAGACACTGGAGATTTTGAACTACTGATCATCAGATCAGGAAAGATCTCAATACAGAGATTCAGAGTTTCTGTCTTTGGTGAGTAACTCAAATATTTAGGTAATAATGATTTTATTTTAAATAATCTTACTTAATTAAATTAATTACTATGGGGGTTATTTGGTTATATCTTCAGCACAAGTATGTGATCTATTATTCTGTATATAAAGGCACAGTTTAATTTCAAATCACTTTAAAATCAAATCAGTATTGATTAGTGTTTTAATTAATTTGCACTAAACTTGATCAGTTTGTTGTGTGTTCGTTGTGTGTTTGTGAGCCACTGGAGACCTCGAGAACTATCTGACAGTGAAACATGCTGTGACGAAACAATATTAATCATAAATACATTAGTAATCATACACGCATTATTAATCATAAACACATTATAGGTCAAGAAATCATTCAATCAAATCTCATCAGTCTTTTGATTGAAAGTAAAAATGATCAGCAGTTTATCAAGCTGCCCACTATAAATATATAAAGTGTAGAGGTAATCGGGATAAAACCATTATTACTGGAACAGGAACTGGAAGAAGAGAAAACAAACCACAATGAAACATGATATTCAATAAAAATGATATTGTTTACTGGAATAAACACAATTAAACACTGATGTGTTGATCCTGATGATCACACATGAATCAGAGAATATGATTGGTCCAACACACACATCACAACACACATTGGATTTGGGGCCATTTGACTTATTTATAGATTTATACCATAATGTATTTGTGTGTGTGTGTATATATATATATATATATATATATATAATGAGAAATTGCATTAATATTATTTATGAAATTTGAACATTTTAGGTTTTTAGGTATGAAGGAATTTATTCATGTTGCTTTTCCTGCTGTTTTCTTTTCCTGATTTCTGTTCTGTGTTTCTCTGTATGTGTAGTTCATACAGATGATATAGAGACCGTGTCAGTGAAGGAGGGAGGATCTGTCACTCTGAAGACTGGTGTCGATGACATACAGATATTTGAACAGATCCAGTGGAAGTTTGGACTAAACCTTCGGTTAGCTGAAATCACAAGAGAGACTAAGAAAATCTCACCAACAGCTGCTAAAATACTCGAAGTCAAACTGGATCTGGATCGTAAGACCGGATCACTGACCATCAAGAAGATCAGACCCACAGATGATGGAATTTATATGCTACGCAAAATTGACGAAAGAGGAAATATCACAACTAAATTATTCAGGGTTGCAGTCGGTGAGTAAATCAAATATGACAATATAATAATAATCTTATTTTATATCAACCCTGTCAGACATTTAGATGAATGACTGAGTTTGTGTGATGACACTCTGATTTCTGTCACTGTGTGTGTATAATTGTACATGATTGTGTTACAGTTTTTTACAATCACTTTGCTACTATTTTCCGAACCTTGATGTCATTTTTCAAAACTCTAGACACAAAACTCAAAACGGTTATTATCACTAACACAGGCTGTCTACTGTTCAAAACATTGCATAGTGCATTCACATCTTGCAGGAAATCTTGCACTTGCACAATCATTGGTTCAAAAAACTAATTTACTGTGAAATAGGCCTAAACAAAACTATAGCTCACCCACACACACAAGCAACCAATAGTTTCACTGTCATATTATGTACAACCATTAAATATTGTAGACTAAAATATGTGATCCAGGTTTCATTATGGCACATTATGTACAGTAAATATACATCTCTGTGAAAGTGCTGCTGTAGTAGAGAGAATACACACACAGTGGAATCATTCAACAAAGTGTGTGTGATATATTGATGCAAAACACTAGAGTACAATCACAACATCGGTTTATTGGAATCAAAAATATATAATATTAGTCAACATCCATGGATATTGTAGTCTGATTGGTTCATGCTCCACGCTAATTGATGACAATGAATCTCGTTATCTTGAAACTTTCATGATTTACTGTAAACATGGAAGATTGTGTGTCTGTTTCCATACAACTATGGATTAAGAGTAACACAACAGTTACTGATCATTTTGAGCAGTTGTATCGATTGATAGTTCGATCACTGTAAGGAAATGAATAGACACTCATTTGAGATGTAATGTGTGAATTGCCTTTTGAAATAGTCGTCCTGTGATGTTCAGTTGTGTCGCATTGAACAGGTGATTTTTGTTGAATTAACAAATGATCTAAGTTTGATGTGTATTGTATCCAAGCAATTGAGAAAAGGGTTAGAGTTTTGAAAAATGTGCATTTTGATCATTGGTTGTGAGTTTTGTGTCTAGAGTTGTGAAAAATGACATCAAGGATCTAAAAATAGATGAAAATAAATGATTGTAAAAAACTGTAATATTAAGAAATCTAAATGCAACTAATACATTCAAAATCAACTCATCCTTACTATGTGTGTGTGTGTGTGTGTGTGTGTGTGTGTGTGTGTGTGTGTGTGTGTGTGTGTGTGTGTGTGTGTGTGTGTGTGTGTGTGTAAATAAGCAAAGCTTTTCTTTTAACATGATCTGTCTCGTGTTTTTGTTTCAGATCCCACTGATTTCAGAAATAACCCAGAGGAGATGCCTTTGAACAGTATCGCCTGACTCCAGACTGTGACATCATCAACATTCAAAATCAATAAAAATCAGATTTCTCCTGATGTGAGTCTCTAAACCCCCTATGAAGGAGATCTAGCTGTGTGTGTGTGTGTGTGTGTGTGTGTGTGTGTGTGTGTGTGTGTGTGTGTGTGTGTGTGTGTGTGTGTGTGTGTGTGTGTGTGTGTGTGTGTGTGTGTGTGTGTGTGATGTTGAGCTGCAGTTTAACAACAGTTGAACATACAGACATATCTCATGTACTCTGTTCTTCATACTGATCTTTAGACTAACTCTCATCTTTATTTCATCCTCTAATGTAAATCTAATCAAAATCTCACGTGTCAAACCTGTTACTCATTGCATATAATACATTCTGGATAAACCAGTTTGTGTTTCTGCATCTATTAGACAAATATCTGATGAGAAATATCATGGATAGACTATATCAGAAGAATGTGTGTGTGCTGAACCAGTATTTCTCAGACTAATGTGTGTGTTTTATATATCAAGCATGTTTAATCCTGAGCTTTAGATACTTTAACAGTCTCTTCACTTCTAGAAGTTTCTGGAAACAGTTTAACTGAGGAAGTTTCCAGTGTTTGTTCATCTCTGTGTGAAACTCTGTCGCTGTTATTGCAGAAATGATCTGCACATTTATATTACTCAAGTATTATTGCCTTATATTTACTTATATTATAATCTCTCTTTTTTATATACATAATTGCACTTATTTTGTATAATTTTTTATGTTGTATAATCTGAAGTGAATCTGCCCATCTGTGTCTCTCAGATCAGATGTGAATGTGAATTTGTGAATGTAAACTCTGATACTCTGTTGATGATTTTCACTGTTGTGTGAAATTATTGATTTCTGATTGTTCTTTTATTTCATTTTATTAGAGAAGCTTCAGCTTGAATCTTTTGTATTTGCTGATTTGAGCCGGACGCACAAGCGTTCACTTCATGCTGTTACTGAATTAACCAATAAAAAATAAACCACAAAAAAACTAAATCTTGAGTCTATTGTCTGGTTTATGCTCATCCTGATCCTCACAGACTAAAATTGGGAAAACACTTTAAACACCATTTTGGTTTTGCAGACCAAAGTCAAACTTGTGTGTAAAGGAATAATAAAGTTGCTTGGAATAAAAACATTTGACTAATACAATCTCAAACAAATGACACTGACTATAAAGAAAAACATTTAAAAAAAGGTTATTATTAGTTATTAATATTACTTTTAAGAAAACTTAAAGCACTGCTTATATTAGAATTACACTATCAACTTCCATTATTTTGTTTGAAGTAGATTTATACTGTAGTAATTACTTCTCAATTTGTGAGTTGTGTGTGAAGGTGAAGTAAAAGAACATTTTTAGCCGCTTTTTTCTTACTTTTTTCAACGTTCTTTAATTGCAAAAAATGAGTTGTATCGACGCTCCTCCACTAGATGGCGCTCCGTGTCTGTCATCGTAGTTAATTCACCAGTCGCTCTGTTTGATCCTCCGCCTGATAACCTTTATTAGTTTCTCTCTTATTGTAGCTTTACAAAGGGTTAATAGAAAACTAAAAACTTATACTAAAAATAACAGCACGAGAACATTTCAAAGTTGGTTACAGTAACTGTTGATGTTCGTGGTTTGGCCACAGTGAGGCGCCATACACAGGAAGTGACGTCACGGCTAGCGCTGGTAAGAAATATGCTGCTTCAAAATACAATGGCAGGCAGCAATAAGCTATAAAATACTAGTGTTTGAAATGAAATGTTTATTAATTAATGTCTGTATATTCTGTCATAATGTTCTCACCCTCAAGTTGTTCAAAATCCTTCCAATACAACACACTTTCATCATAGATTTCAGACGTAATAAATCCTAAAACAGCTTAACAAAACATTTTCGTAAATGAACAATACCAAAAAAAGATGAACTACAGTTTCGTCAGAGTTGTCACAGAAAGAGCAACTGGAGGAAATATCCTTTTTTAACTTTTTTAGATAGTGATTTGCAGGGTAGCATTTGTGAATTATTTTAAAATAAATCTCTTTTACTTCATTGGTTAAAAAAGAGATCTGTCACTTTTTTTTCCAACAGATAGGCTATTACCAACTAAATTACTCCAAGCGGTCACAGGCGAAAATGTCTTGCTGAATTAGTGAATGGATCGATCTATTATTGTTTTTATTGGGAGAAGCGAAGCACAGTTTGACAACAGGAGTATTGACCAAACTCAGAGAGACTGAGAGAGATCCTCAATAAAGTAAGAGCACCTGATGGGATTCAACCCATAACTATTGAAAATTATTTTGGGAGAAACAGGAAATATGATCTAGAAATTCCTTACATGAAAACAACAGACCTTGAGAATTGATTAATTTACTGACTAACAAGATATCTTTATCAAACTAATTCTGAAAAAAAAATATTATTTTTTATTCTTGTATAAAATATTACAGCTATTACAAATAAAATATTTATGAGGTGAAAAGTTGTGCTTAAATATCAAAGACCAAGCCATAAGTGACTGCTTATGAAAAGCAGATAATATTGCGGGAATTTTTTTTTATTTTGTTGTTGCATAACAGAAGAAAATCCAGACAACCACACTGAGAAAAATAATAAAGTTCCCTAAAGACACTGGGTTCTTTTAAACTGTTTTATCCAAATAATTTTAAAGGTAAAATTTTAAATAAAATCCAAAATATTAAGACCACACTTTTCACTAATATTAATTTCAAATGATTTTCTAATATAATTAATTGAGTTTTTCCACAAAAACTTAAATAATTTTACTGTGGATTTGACTCCATTTGAACAGATTGAGCTGCAGAGAAGCCTGCGATCTCTTTGTAGCCACTGGTTAAAACTCTTCTGAATTTTATCCGTAAGGGGTTGAAAATTAAAAATGCATCTTTCTTTTTGGTTCTGCACTATATAAACTCCTAGATAACAAACCTTTTCTTTCACAGCAATACCGCGAATAAAGAAGTCATTGCAGTTTTTATGGCCAACATTTCTGAACTTTTAAATGCAATCCCGCTAATCCTTTCAAATTGCTGTTTTTATGTGAGCACAGAGAAGATGAGGATATTAGGATATTTTTATTATTATTATTATTATTTATTGCTTAACAAAAACAATTATACATGATACACTGTAGAGCCAGTGGAGATAAAAAAATAAAAAATTATATTAAAAAAAAATAACAATAAGATTGTTTGGACATTGTTATATAACAGTTAATCCCGATCCTCGAATCTCACTTTATGAGAGGTTTTCTGCTGATATTTCTCCAGTATCGGCATTGCTCGCCCATGCACATTCTCGACACTCAGTGCAGTTACACTGTTACGCCACAAGATGGCGGCAAGCGACTGTCTTTGAGTGAGTCATTAAACTCTTCATTCAACCGAAATGTTAAAAAATAAAAATAAAATAAATAAATATATATATATATAAAATGCGGAATCATTCAAACATAGATGTAATGAAACAAGCTTTTAATTATTTTAATATTTAGTTTGAATGTTAAACTCCATTTACAGGGCTCTGCTTCACTAGAGATCAATGGCATTATTCATTGTATTAACCAGCGCTGACGCCATTCATTAGAAATATCCTTAAATGTTAAAAGAATGATTTTTTTAAAGATTTCGCTTTCCTTGGTCACGACAACCTTTTTTACGAATATGACTTGATATGAAGGACAGGTATTTTGTTTACATCCACTTTTCCGCTTCCGGTCCGCTGCGTGAGATCACGTGAGTTGCTTTCTCTGGCACGATAATCTTACAAGTTACTGAATAACATTTTGTATTGTGTAATGACTTTCATATATTGTAGTGTGAGCACGTTTAATATTTGAGGGAGGAAAATCTGCAAAGATTCTCTTTAATTGTGCGCTGCAACCATTTTCATTCACATGTTAGGACGGATTTTAAAACACCTGAGCCAGGATAAGTAAATAACTAACAGAGAAATTCCCCCAAACCAATTAACTGAAAAGAGAGACTTATTTTGGTGTTTAATATATTATTAGTCCAAAATAATCACAATCATCCATGATAACAGTGCCTGTTTATTAGTTTTATGGGAAGCTTATTAATGTTAAAATTACATTTAAGGAGAAATGCAATACCACATAGGCCTACTTTTTCAAAAGTAACATTAGGGATATAATAGCATAATTTATCTTTGGAACGAATATGATTTATATCAATTTAATTTTAAACATAGGCCTAAGATCAGATATTTCAAAATCAAGTACATTTATTTAGTCGAATTAGTTTATTTTTCCAAATGAAATTATATTATATTTATGTTTATTTATCTCAGTAATCTGATGTGTTTTGGGATATTGATTGCAATGCGTAAACTAGTCTAGATAATCCTTCAAATAATAATTCGAAGATAATTCTCTCATTAGCCATGTGTCGAATTTATTTTTAATTTTCTTGATTAATGGAGTATTATTAAGATTTATTTATTTATTTATTAAGATTTATTTTATAATTAAGATTTCTTTCTTTTTGGTCTTTGCATATATTATTAATTCCTAATTAAGAAAAAAGTTTTATATTTAGAATGCCACATCATCCTGACAAGTTACTGAGCCTTTCTTTTAATGCAAAATAATTCACAATATTTTATATTTTACAGATAACCTTGATACTATAGAAGACACTCTACATTCACCCTGCAACTGTCTAGTGTTGAAAGGCTGAAACACCCTGATACACAAAGGCACACTACTGATGATGATGTCTGAGATCCCTCACGCCACTCTCAACATCAAGGTAAACCTCAATGGACAACATACCATCACGTCCCGTGTTTCACCATATTTATTTTGGTTTAAAGGTACCCTACAATGTTTTTTTTAATTATTTTATAATGTTTCCTGGGTTGCCCTTATAATGTTAGTATGTTTTTTTAGATCCGAAATAGTCATAATTTAGAAATAAAAGGCATTTTTCCTAGCCTGATTTTAGCCTCTGCTTTGAACACTCTGATTGAAGGGGCGTGTCTGCTGTGTGTAACCGGCCTCTGCTGTGATTGGCTGACATGCTTGCATATGAAATAGCTATGTATGACATGTGAAACTCTCTCGAATAATTTTACTACAGCTATTATAGGTTTTTACTATTACAGCCATCGAGATTAACGAATCGTGAGATGTTTTTGAAGTATTTAGATCTATTCCCATCACATAAAATAAAATGTTGCTGTGATGAGCAGCAGAGTACAGTCTGTCGATCGCGAGAATGAAGATCTTATCATTGCAATGCAGTCTCTCTACTCTCTAATGCAGCAGACACGATGATGTAAATACAGTTAGTGCTGCAGTGTAACGTGCGTCATTGAATTCATAACGAGTTTGGCAAGTGTCCAGATAAACTCGGGCTGTGTGAAAAGATTGTTCTTTAATCGCTTTCTGTATATAATTTATTCACAATTGAAATACGATTTTTTTCTTCTTCATCCTACTAAAAGAAACTATGTGAAGTTGATATTTAATCACTGGCTTTGTAGCTCCTCCAGTGACATGAGGCAAGAGGTCTTGTTTAGAATACAATACAGGGCTTTAATGCTGGTCAACCCGTGAGAACTCATTGCTGCTTATCACATGGAGGTGCTAAAACATTCTTTCAAATCTTCTGTATCTTCTTTCTGCCTATTTTCTTGTAAACTTATGCACTTAAACACGATAACAGCGGATACATCAGTCTCTTTCGCGGTAATGTTTTTCTCAGTGCGTCGCTCAAAAGCGCCCGGCCGGAAACCTCCGGGCGGAACCAATAATTAGTTCCGTCTTGCTGTTAACATTAAATTCAGAAGAAACAAAATAGTAAAAGTGCTAATACAGAAATAAATTGGCGACAGAGGCAGTTACAGGCTTGACTTATTGATGCATAAACAGTATTGAACGATTTTGAGCGAAAGATTAACGTTAACTTTACCTGTCTGAACTTGAACAACAATTAAGTTACACATCAGCTCGGTCCTTGGCAAATTGAGGAAACAGTCGTCGGTGAAATGTTTGGAAATTTCCAGAGAAAATAAAATTAACCCGTTGTTTTTTCAGGGGCTCGGATGAAGGAACTAAAAATACTTTTGTATTCATGTGTACATCCAAACACTGACCGACTTCTGTCTCGTCTGTCATTGAAAATGGGCTGGCATATATAAAACATTAGGGGTCGTACATATTAATCCGGTCGGTGTTATGTGGAGATTCGCCTGTTTTTCATGTGTTTTTCAAAAACGAGATTTAAGTAAGAAGGAGAAAACAATGGTGTTTGAAACTCACTGTATGTCATGTCCATGTACTGAACTCTTGTTATTTAACTATGCCAACATAAATTCAATTTCACAGTATAGGTCACCTTTAAACGTGCTCATGTGGATGTAGCCTGTAAATAGTGTAGGGCCTACATGTTAAAGGTTGTATCAGTGATTTCAGGCCCAAAAATAAATGATCACATTCATCTAATTTTTCCTAACGATCCGCTAGCTGCCCACCCCATGAGCAGGCTGACAAAAAAAACAAAAAAACGCAGCCTATGCTAAATCAACATTCAAATGTAGTAAATGATATATCAGCAATTTTGACATTTTATGTTTGTGTGTGTGTGTAGAGTCTGTCAGTCAACACAATAGCGCCATCCTCAGGCTGATTTACGCAAATACACTAGACATCTACTAAAGTGTCTGCATTTTCAGCTATTATGTAAAAGTAGCGGCCAATCATAAACTAGTGTTACTACACAAAATCGACCTCACCGAAATTTAATGTGAAGAACATCAGAAATGATCTCTACTTAATAGACAATGTTTTTTAAGACAGTTCAGATGTGATTATCTTTACTTCATAAAATCAGACACTGCCAACACAAACAGAACAAAACAAGCATTTGAAACATTTTCTTTAAATGTTTAAAGATCTTTAAATGAAAAATGTGATCTAATAAGATCATCCACCAAAAACAATCACGCTGGTCGGCAACAAACTCACATCAGAGAGAACACACACACACAGAGACACTTAAATATTGTTACACATAGAGAACATTTATTACTGATAATGTTGAAAATTAAAAATACATTTTCTTCATGGTAAAATATAGTGTAATGGTTCGGTTTGATTTCCTTAGAAACGGTTTGATCTGTTGGCTGGACAAAGAGAGAGTGGCCATTATGAATAGGGTTGGGTATCGTTTGAATTTGAACGATTCTGATTCCGATTCCTTTGTTTCGATTCCGGTTCCTAACGATTCTCGATTCCGATTCTTTTAAGAGGCAGGGTCAAAAAAGTTTAGCTAACCTTGCTAACCAACGGTCTTTCGGAAGGAAATAATCCTTTCTGAAGGAAATACTCCTTCTGTCACAAATACTCCTTTTGTCACAAATTTTGCATTTTGCCGAGATTTCGTTATTTTTAGAAAAGTGAAGCCACACTTTGGACCGCCGACGTAAGCTACTCATGTTCGACTCGCGCGGTTATGCCAACACTTCCGGTAGACGCTTCTTCGTTGGTGTGTTGTTCAGCGGTTTCTTCTTCCGCTCTTCTTCTGTGAATATCAAAACTAGGAATCGAAATTTTAACTTTTGAACGATTTCGGGAAAAACGAAAAGTTAGTCCCGGTTCCAATCGATACTCGATTCTCGATACCCAACCCTAATTATGAATATGTTTTGAAGTATAGTATGTATAAGTAATGAAGTTTGATTCTTCTTGTCCTGTTATTTATGAACATCACAGTCTGACTTGAAATCGACCGTAACACTTAGAATACTGTTCTGTCAAAAATGTCTAATTACTTAGGAACATATGAGTAACGCACCATTAACACTTATTATAAATGTATAATTTAATTTTACTATTAAAAAATAACGAATTAGTAAGTAATACCGCTCAGGTGAATGACGTATAGATCACTATTATCTAATCAATTAATATCTGTTTTTCTTTTCATTCCTGCCATTCAGAGTACTAAGAACTACTAATTACAGGTTCATAATTAACATGAATAATGCATAATATATAAAAAATTAAAATAAAAGTGAAGATCATGGTAACCCACTAGTAATGACTCAATTACCAAATCAATCGGAATTAGCCTTAGTTGTTGTTATTTACTGCAAGTTTAATCCCCTAGATCAGTCAAATCCACAAATGAATATTATTTATTGTGAACCAGTTGATTTAAAAGAATCGGTTCAAGAAATTCGCTCACGAAACGTTATACATTTTTATGTTATTAAATTATGTTTTTTTTGTTATTTTATGTTATTAAATTATGTTATTAAATTACCATTAAGCTCATTCTTCTTTGTCTAATAAACAGCCTACTGCTAATTTGTTTTTAAATGTTTATTAAAATATTATTTTTTGATCCAATGTAAGATTTTCTGAAGTATACAGCTAAATCTAAAATATTTTTTACAAACGTAATGCCTAAATTTTGCATAACAGCATCATAAAATTAGGTTTTTAAAAATCCAAAATATGATAATAAAAGACTTCAGCCGTTATAAGTGAATCAGTCTATCAGTTTTAATTGCACTTATCACATGAACATACACATATCTTTAGATTTATTTTTTAGAGAAAAGGAAAACTTTGCACATTTTCATTGACGGATGCAAAGTAAATAAAAAAAAAAGAGAGAGGAGAAAGGTCTATATTCTACTAAGGTCGTGGTTCAGGCTTTTGTGAGGAGTTTGGCATATTATACGCCTTATTCACGGCAGCGCCATCTTTGATTTTTAATGAGAATGAAAGCGAGGCTGTGAGGGATAGACATACATCTCTTCAATGGGCTGTACTGTTATTTAATGTGTTTTCGGATTGTTCTGTTTATGAAACACTGGAAAAATATCTTCCCAAGATATTTCAGTTGACAAAAAACTCCCGACACTGTAAGCTGTGAAAAAATTGTCAGTAATTTGAGCTTTATTCAGCTTTTTACAGCGGTTGCCATTGGAAACACGGTAAGTCTATCCCTCACAGCCTCACTTTCATACCTGTCATGGCGTTGCTCTGAATAAAGTCAATAGTACTTTATGACACTGAAATTACTTTTCTGAAAACATTTATAACAACAGACACCATGCCTGCCGGCTTATAACCAGGAAAGCCACCGTTCAGAGAGACCGGCAGATAAACCCGGGGATTGTTCAAGAAAGACCCGTGGAAATAAGTGCCTTCGTGTTCAAGCGAAGGCACTTATTTCCATCACACGGTAATAATATTATAAAATACATACAGACACACATAATTACATAACAACAGTGGACAATCACAGCAAAGCAAAACATTCTTGAACTAAAAGAGACATGAAATGGAGAAACCATTTATAACAAAGAGATAATGTGAATAAGTGCATTAATACCATTAAAACTCAATAAAAAACTACATTTGGCAGTAAAAAACAAACAAACTGATCAGAATGTCATCTCTAATGCTTCATAAAAGGTTACATTGTTACAAGACATTTGTTAAAAGAAAATGCAAAGAAAAGCAATTAACTTTTGCACATTTAACAAACACAAAAAACGTGCTTTATGATACAAAATGCATATAGATGTTTAGTTTAACCAATAAACATATCTGTGAAACAGAATAGTAAGGCCAGTAAGGCTTGTGCAGCAGTCAGTAATAATTATGGAAGATTATATATATATATATATATATATATATATATATATATATATATATAACTTTAACATTTTCTGCTTCAACACCAGTTTGGAGTAACATTAGTGTCAGGAATAACATCATACTGGTGTTTTCATCGGGGACGTTCCTCCGTAGTGTTGTGAAGATGCTAATACTGAAATTGTAAATATAACATTATTGGTAGTATTGGTTTGACCTGTGTGTTGTTTGACTGACAGCTTCTCCATGAAGAGCATTCCTCTTTCAGTATGGAATTACTTGAAGTTGTTCAAAATGATAATCTTTTATGAAGTATTTAAGTTCACAACCTGTTATAAATGAATTTAAACGTAAGCAGACGAAAAACCCTTGCAGTGTAAATGTTGCTGTTATTAAAGTCTCACTGAAGTGCCTTGAAGGGCGCAGGTTTGATGCGTTGACGTAATTTCCACTGAAACAGGAGATAAAGCGGGATATATTGAATAGCCCCTCCCCCTTTTCAAATAGCCAATAGCATTTAGTTTACCTCACAGACTCCAAGTCGCACTTGGTAGCGAATCCGAGTGCGGATGATACGTTGGATTCAATAGTAGAGATAAATTCAAACTCACAACTCTAAGGCCGTGTGTCCACCAAGCGTTTTTCCGCACGCCACAAGCGTTTTCAATGGGAGCGCCGCATTTTTTAAATGCCATGAGCGTAACGAGGCACTGAGCGTTTTTTTTACGCTGAAGCGCTGAGAGCTCTGTGTTTTTTTACTGGTCGTCAAGAGAAAACGCAGCGCTCATCACTGTCACTGTTTACCCAGCCGTCCAATCACAGTGGAGGAGGGGCGGGACTAAACCACACCGACCAACTGTCACACCATTCTTTCTGTACAACGACATCAACCAGCAGAGCTAACCGAACAAAATGGATGAAAAATGTATTTTTAGTATGAAACAAATTATCTGCGAAATCAGTTACAAGTAAACAGTGCTGCGGATATTCTGTATCATAGCAACGAAACGTCTCAACGGAAAAATTGAGAAAATTGCTTCATACTAAAAAAATACTTTTTATCCATGTTGTTCGGTTAGCTCTGCTGGTTGATGTCGTTGTACAGAAAGAATGTTGTGACAGTTGGTCAGTGTGGTATTAGCCCCGCCCCCTCCACTGTGATTGGACGGCTGGTGACTGGTGACAATGATGAGCGCTGCGTTTTACCAAAAGTTGAAAATTTTTCAACTCGCGGCGACCAGTAAAATCGCGAGCTCTCAGCGCTTCAGCGTGAAAAAAAAACGTTCAGCGCCTCGTTACGCTCATGGCGTTCTAAAAACGCGGCTCTCCCATTGAAAACAAACACCAGGCGCGTGGAAAAACGCACACGGCCTAACCCATGTTTCTCCGTGATGTGTCAATGGTCGCTTTGGCCAGTTAGTGTTTATAGCGCGGGGGCGGAGCTTTAGTTTTTAGAGAGCATTTGATTGGACAGAAGATGTGATGAGAAGCTGATGTCTATGATGATGTCCTAAAAATCCCTGATCCATTTTAACAGAAGTGAGAGACTGTACGTTTTGAATGCTTACATCTCATAAATGTGAATTTTGTCATTGTTTTGGAACACACTAGCTTCAAACCTTAAGGCTAACATTCATACTAAAAGCTAAAAAACTTCAATTATGATTTCAGGGGGTCTTTAATGATTACAGAGAAACCACTTACTGTTTCTGTCTGAATCAATTTAGCAGCTTTAATAAACATTTAAATACCATGAAAATCCTCAAGCGCTCTTTGTCCTGTTGGAGGTAATGTTCTTCTGTTTCTTACTAATGAACCATTTGCCTTTTCTCAAGCATTGTTTGCATATTGTAAAATATGTTTAGGCTACTTATTATTTAAATGACTAAAAAAAATGAACTATTTTGATTTAGTTAAAATTGGTGTCAAGGTGAATTTTCACTAGTATTGGTGCCAACACAGGAAATCTTGGTATCGTGACACTCTTTCTCTGTGAGTTTCTTCTCTTCTCTTCAAGTTCTCTTTTAATGAAAGTATCAAAATAATAAGTTATGAAGGCGTCTCGTTGGCCGCCTCAGCCTGATGAAGGTTCGAGTCACTGAGATCCGTCATCAGAAAAGTGTTTCTCTGATCAGGGGACGAGTCTTCAGCTCCGCTTGCCTGCATATAAAAACACACAGTAAAAATAATTACAAAATAATAACAAAATATCCTATAATCTAGGATGTTTCTCTTCACATGTGTTAAAATAATTAATCTTTCCTAAACAACCTGCACGTTTAAATGCTTGAGATATTATGTGAATAAATTATTCTAATTATATATAAATGTATATCACACACAAACATTTCATCAGTTTTGCGATCACACAGATTCAGGTCATGTAGTTTCTCACCTGTCTACCGCGCTTCGTCCTGTTAGCTTTTGGAGGGAAAAAACAACTTACTCGATTAAACATTACTTTGGTTAGAGTAAAAAAATAGAGATTTTTAAGATGTTTTTAAATTTCACTAAATCATTTGTATTTTACACTCACCTTTCCTTCTTGCTCTGCACTTGCAACAGCAAATCACAGCAACAATAAGCAGAATAGCAATAACACCAGCAGAAACAGAAACAACAACAACTGCCTGTAGTCTTGACAGGAATGGAGTCGAATCTGAATTTGGATCTAGAAGAGTTAAAGACAGTAAAAGATCAACTTCAACAGTATTTTTGTCTGATATCTATTTCTACATGTTTCTACTTTGGTCATCAGTTGTATGATGTTAATTTCACTGGAAACTGGAAACACCAGCACAGAAAAACATTCATTTTTCATGTTAATAACTTTAGAAATGTGAGCAGCACTTGTTTGTTGTGACAATTGTGTGTTATTTGATGTGCATGTGAAGAACACTGTCAAAAAAAACATTTGCTGGGTTGATATAAATATTTTATGAACATTTTTTTTATACTTCGTTAACTTCAAATCCACTGTATTTTGGATTCCTGGTGGAGTAAAAAAAAAAATCAGAGATGATATGATGAGAAACTCCAGAAAAAAACGGTTTAAACCGCCACCAATAGAAAAACAAGTACATTTTTAAATCATAATGCAATGAATTTCAAGTTAAAGATATAAATTAATGTATAAATAAATTGTGTTTTTGAAGAAATGATCTACACTACCACAGGGTTTCTGCAGGTATCTTCAAATTACATTAAATGCCTTTTTAATGCCATTTTAAAATATTTTAATGCCATATACGACCCATGACTAACCACGTGTATATATATATATATATATATATATATATATATATATATATATATATATATACAGATGCAATGATTAATGCATCCATGGCCCGGATATAATTATAAAATATGATTTTAAAAGTGACCTATAACATCGACTATGCAATACACTTTAATTTTGTTAGTGCTTACAAAATTAGGAGAGAGTATAAAATATAAAATATTTGGAGAGAGAGATGTTTATAATGTGACAATATGTGAGTCATCGTGTGATAACAAAAATATGACTACGCCTAAACTACTTGAGCAGGTGTTGTCGGTGAACAAGTTGTAAAACTGTTGTCTAGACTCTAAGTTACAGACACTGGGAATCATTCTCTAACTGCAGTCAAGTTGTCATTGTTTATGTCAAAAAAGTTGTGATTTTTTTGTAACATTAAAACAGGAGATCATGACTTATCTTCAATCTTACCCAGATACAATAGTGCTATTTTCTGATTGGCTATTGTGTGGCCCCTTTCTTTTTTTTTTTGATTGGTGGCTTGATTTCTGCCGGGTGCATAGTGGGAGTGACGCGGCCAGACACATTTTGAGGCGCTGTGGCATATTAAATATATTATAAATTGTTTTTCAGCATGAGAAATACAACGTACCATTAAAGTACATGCGTGTAACGATCGGGTCTATTCTCGCTACTAGCAACTTATATTAGATCTCATTAAACGACAAATTGAACACAATGTACTATTTAAATCTAACGCACCGCATTTGGGATTTTATGGCGCTGATTCCCATTGTCCCCAACTTAAATGCTTTTTTACAAACGCCGCAAAATCCTTCATCATTTTTATCACTAATGGGCTGCAACCATGTCTTGAAAGTTTTGTTTTCCAGCCACTTTGGCTGGAATTTGCACTTCCCGATTTTTTTCAAGGTTCAGACCTTTCCACCGCTGTGCAACCTTTCTGTATGATACAACAGACCCGCGTCACCTCCGCATCACGGCACTCTTGCTCTGGCTGGAAGCAATTAACATACTGGTTCCGCATATTTATCACACGAACATACATATTTTGCGACAGCAAATACAAATTATTAATCATGAAGGCTATGTTCAAATACATTTATATAAAATTATCTTCAAAACTATATAAAAAAAAAATAATGCCTGTATGAATCAAATTTAATGATTTTTAATGCCTTTTAAGGCCTTAATTTTCACAAAATCCATTTAAAGACTTTTAATGCTTTTTAATGCCCCGCGGAAACCCTGTACCAGTCAGAAGTTTTGGATCGGGAAGATTTTTTAATGTTTTTAAAAGCAGTCTCTTCTGCTCATCAAGGCTTCATTTATTTGATTAAAAATAAAATCCAAAACAGTAATATTGTTACATATTATGACAATTTCAAATATCTGTTTTCTATTTTAATATAATTTAAAATGTAATTTATTCCTGTGATCAAAGCTGAAATTTCAGCATTATCACTCCAGTCTTCAGTGTCACATGATCCTTCAGAAATCACTCTAATATGATGATCTGATGCTCAAGAAACATTTATGATTATTATCAATGTTGAGATTGAGATTTTTCAGGATTCTTTAATTAATAGAAAGTTAACAGCATTTATTTGAAATAGAATCATTTGCAACATTATAAAAGTCCTTACTATCACTTTGATCAATTTAATTCATCCCTGATGAATAAAAGTATTGATTTCTATTATGTCTTTCCCCTCAAAAAAAAAAATATATATATATAATTCTTACTGACCCCAAACTTTTCAACGGTAGTGTTTCAGATAAAAACCCTGTTCTTTTGAAATAAAAATGTAAATAACTGTTTTCAACATTAATGAAAGCATCAGATCATCATATTCAACATGACATCATGACTTTTGCGTAAACATACACGCCACTTTCGAGTCAGGTGGCGTGTTATCTCTACGCATTTTGAGCTATCCGCGTGTATGCCTATGCCATTAACGTCCGCATCATTCCGCGTGTCCGTACACGCAGTCAAATCTCCAGTCATAAATGCCATTAACTCCAGTGACGGTTAAGTTTAGGGACGGGGTTGAGGTAAGTCATATATTTATATAACGTTAAGTCAACGGCGTTCATAAACACGCTGAAAGGCGATTATGCGTCTTGATAGCACGCCAAAAATGGAAATACGAATTGGCGTGTCATACACGCGCTACTTCATGAGATCAGTCTGTCATATTAGAGTGATTTCTGAAAGATAAGACTGGAGTAATGAAGCTGAAGATTAAGCTTTGATCACAGAAATAAATTACATTTCACTATATATTCACATTATTATATTACAATTGTAATAATATTTCACAATATTACTTTTTTTGTATTTTTAATCAAATAAATGCAGCCTTGGTGAGAAGAAGAGACTTCTTTTTAAAACATTAAAAATCTTACCGATCCAAAACTTAGGACTGGTAGTGATGAATTAGTAGTGATGAATGAACAGTGTGAGAATTAAAATACAGGTAAAGAAAAAGAAAAAAAAACACCCCTGAAAGTCCCTGAACACATTAATGATGTTATTTAAATATACAAGACTTGCTTTTAAACATAATGACTCACCATGAACAGAAACACTGAAGATCTTCTCACTGTTGCTGAAGAAGCTGCTGATCAGTAGTGTATATTCTCCAGAGTCTTCAAGGTTGGTGTTCATGATGGTCAGAGATCCAGTCTGATGATCCAGCTTCAGTCTGCCTCCGAATCTCACATTATCTTCATTACACTGAACATCTGTACAGAACTTACTGAGATCTCCACTGATTACAGCGATGCGAATGCCTTTATAATACCATATAATTTTGTGTTGATGGTTTGTTTGAACACCAGAGTTTAGAGTGACTGAATCTCCCTCCATCACTGACACTTTAACTGTATCAAAACCAAACACACCTGAAGAAGAAACAATGAATATTAGCCAAATAAATGCATAATAGTGCTGTAAAAATCTTTTTCTACATATCATAAAGATTATGAGTAAATGTCTGGATTATATTTTAACAAAGAAGAACATCATTGATTTACACTTTTACACGAGTCTCATGGAGGATCTTGAACGGACATCATACAACACATGAATATTATGAGTATCACACTTAATAATACTTCAGGAAATTGGCCATTTTCCAAAACATTACGATACAATGGAACGTTCTATATATTAATCGTTATAATGTTTACTGTTCCAATCTTACACTTAAATAACATGTTTTCATTTACACTTTTATTCATCCACAGTGACTAACACTGATGACATCGCGGCTTGATCTTCGGTTGACCAATCAGCGGAAAGAGCCGTTTTATTCCCGCACATGTAGAGATCGAGTATTCAAGTGGTTTGTCCATTTTGGTTTTATTGTTTTTCCATTTGGCAGATTAGAAAAAAGTGTGATGATAAATATAAATTGAAATATGAAAAAACGACAAAAGATTTGTTTATTTATGTTCATGAGAAGGATCGAATATGTGATAAATGAGCGGTTTCTTTCCTTTTCCGTTTAGAAGACAAAAACGAGAAAACAAATTATCCGAAAGAACACGGATCAATAAATAATAGATGATCGTAGAAGGTGATCAGAGATGATCTTCCCTAGAACTAAATAGTTTAAACTACAACCAATAGAAAAACAAGTACATTTTTAAATAATAATGCAATGAATTTCAAGTTAAAGATATAAATTAATGTATAAATAAATGTGTTTTTGAAGAAATGATCTACACTACCAGTCATAAGTTTTGGATCGGGAAGATTTTTTTAATGTTTTTAAAAGCAGTCTCTTCTGCTCATCAAAGCTTCATTTATTTGATTAAAAATAAAATCCAAAACAGTAATATTCTTATATATTATGACAATTTCAAACAGCTGTTTTCTATTTTAATATAATTTAAAATGTAATTTATTCATGTGATCAAAGCTGAAATTTCAGCATTATCACTCCAGTCTTCAGTGTCACATGATCCTTCAGATATCACTCTAATATGAGGATCTGATGCTCAAGAAACATTTATGATTATTATCGATGTTGAGATTGAGATTTTTCAGGATTCTTTAATTAATAGAAAGTTAACAGCATTTATTTGAAATAGAATCATTTTCATTTGTAACATTATAAAAGTCTTTACTGTCACTTTTGATCAATTTAATTCATCCCTGATGAATAAAAGTATTGATTTCTATTATTTCTTTCCCCTCAAAAAAATAAAAATGATAATTCTTACTGACCCCAAACTTTTGAACGGTAGTGTTTAATATTACAAAAGCTTTCTACTTCAGATAAATTCTGTTCTTTTGAACTTTCTATTCGTCAAAGAATCCTGAAATAAAAATGTAAATAACTGTTTTCAACATTGATAGTAATGAATGTTTCTTGAGCATCAGATCATCACATTACAATGATTTCTGGAGGATCATGTGACACTGAAAACTGGAGTAATGAAGCTGAAGATTAAGCTTTGATCACAGAAATAAATTACATTTCACTATATATTTACATAGAAAACAGCTGTTTTAAATTGTGATAATATTTCACAATATTACTTTTTTTTTGTATCTTTAATCAAATAAATGCAGCCTTGGTGAGAAGAAGAGACTTCTTTTTAAAACATTAAAAATCTTACCGATCCAAAACTTAGGACTGGTAGTGATGCAGTGTGAGAATTAAAATACAGGTAAAGAAAAAGAAAAAAAACACCCCTGAAAGTCCCTGAACACATTAATGATGTGATTTAAATGTACAAGACTTGCTTTTAAACATAATGACTCACCATGAACAGAAACACTGAAGATCTTCTCATTGTCGCTGAAGATGTTGCTGATCACTAGTGTATATTCTCCAGAGTCTTCAAGGTTGGTGTTCATGATGGTCAGAGATCCAGTCTGATGATCCAGCTTCAGTCTGTCTCTGAATCTCTCAGTGCCTTCATTACACTGAACATCTGTACAGAACTTACTGAGATCTCCACTGATTACAGCGATGCGAATGCCTTTATAATACCATATAATTCCGTCTTGTTGGTTTGTTTGAACACCAGTGTTTAGAGTGACTGAATCTCCCTCTATCACTGACACTTTAACTGTATCAAAACCAAACACACCTGAAGAAGAAACAATGAATATTAGCCAAATAAATGCATAATAGTGCTGTAAAAATCTTTTTCTACATATCATAAAGATTATGAGTAAATGTCTGGATTATATTTTAACAAAGAAGAACATCATTGATTTACACTTTTACACGAGTCTCATGGAGGATCTTGAACGGACATCATACAACACATGAATATTATGAGTATCACACTTAATAATACTTCAGGAAATTGGCCATTTTCCAAAACATTACGATACAATGGAACGTTCTATATATTAATCGTTATAATGTTTACTGTTCCAATCTTACACTTAAATAACATGTTTTCATTTACACTTTTATTCATCCACAGTGACTAACACTGATGACATCGCGGCTTGATCTTCGGTTGACCAATCAGCGGAAAGAGGCGTTTTATTCCCGCACATGTAGAGATCAAATATTTAAGCGGTTTGTCCATTTTAGTTTTATTGTTTTTCCATTTGGCAGATTAGAAAAAAGTGTGATGATAAATATAAATTGAAATATGAAAAACCGACAAAAGATTTGTTTATTTATGTTCATGAGAAGGATCGAATATGTGATAAATGAGCGGTTTCTTTCCTTTTCCGTTTAGAAGACAAAAACGAGAAAACAAATTATCCGAAAGAACACGGATCAATAAATAATAGATGATAGTAGAAGGTGATCAGAGATCTTCACCAGAACTAAATAGTTTAAACTACAACCAATAGAAAAACAAGTACATTTTTAAATCATAATGCAATGAATTTGAAGTTCAAGTTATAAATTACACTTTAAGAGTAAATGTGTTTTTGAAGAAATTATCTTTATGCTGTGTGTGAATTAATATAGGCTACAGGTAAAGAAAATACACCCCTGAATGTCACTGCAAAATAATCAAACACATTAATGATGGGATTTAAATGTACACGATTTGCTTTTAAACATAATGACTCACCATGAACAGAAACACTGAAGATCTTCTCACTGTCGCTGAATCTGCTGAAGATCACTAGTGTATATTCTCCAGAGTCTGTGATTCTGGTGTTCATGATGGTCAGAGATCCAGTCTGATGATCCAGCTCCAGTCTGGCTCTGAATCTCTCATTTCCTTTATTACACTGAACATCTGTACAGGTATAACTGTGATCTCCACTGATTACAGCGATGCGAATGCCTTTATAATACCATATAATTCTGTCTTCTTGGTCTGTTTGAACACCAATGTTTAGAGTGACTGAATCTCCCTCCATCACTGACACTTCTTCTGTATCAACACCAAACACACCTGAAGAAGAAACAATTAATATTAGCCAAATAAATGCATAATAGTGCTGTAAAAATCTTTTTCTACATATCATAAAGATTATGAGTAAATGTCTGGATTATAATGTAACACAGAAGAACATCATTGATTTACACTTTTACACGAGTCTCATGGAGGATCTTGAAAGGACATCATACAACACATGAATATTATGAGTATCACCCTTAATAATACTTCAGGAAATTGTGCCATTTTCCAAAACATTACGATACAATGGAACGTTTTATATATTAATCGTTAGGGGAGCGTGGGGCACAAAGTAACGCGGGGCTAGTTGTAACAGACTTGTTTTAAATACTTCCACAAATGATGCCAGCACGAAACTTTTGCATTTACTAGTTGCCATTTCAGCACTATATAGAGAAAAAATTGCGTCAAAATTCAGAAATCTTTGTAAGATATCAATGAACATGTATTTAACAATACTGTAGCAAAAGTACATTTCTTAAAAAAAAAAAAATCATCTCTATTTTTTGTTTATTTAAAATTAGACAAATCTGATACTATTTTACTCTCCAATTGATATAGTTCTTTAAGGCTTCACTAACTAGCAGAAGACACTAGCAGGGTTTAAATCACAGTTGCCCAGGTGGGGCGTGTTGTCACACTGCACCCCTATTAGAAATATGCTATTATATTCTATTCTTTTATGAATTCTATTGAGAAAACAAGAGAAATATGTAAATAAAAACTGAGTCAATGTTCAGAAATTATTAATTATTATTTTGTTTTTGAACTATGCTGTATAGCTGTGTTTTCCGGTGTGTTTGTTGTCAAACTTATATTTATATATTTATATTTATACTTATATTTTATAAAGAAAACATTTTGGTTTGACTTTGATTATTAGATCAGATAGCATTTTAACCCCCTGGGGTTATTCATTTCAGAGTCACACTCGGGGTGTTCGGGTCCAAATGGACCCAAAGGGCGGGATTCATATTTAAAAAAAAAAAAATTTTTTTTACTTGTTTTTTATAATATTTTTTCTTTTCTTTTTTGGTGTTTTGAGAAAAGTTCAAAAAATAAAAAAATGTATAATTAGTATTAATGCAATAATTATGACAAAATTTCCCCCCCATTGAACATAATAGAAAAAATATTTTAATTTTTTTTTTTTTTAAAGCTGTATTTTATTTTAGAGTCAAGCCTAGGCCTCATAAAAGCAATTTTTAAAATGAGATGGATGCCATCTGGTGGACAAACTGAGCATTTTAAAAATGCAAAACACATGTATAATCAGAATTTTTTTGGTGTGTGTGTGTGTGTGTGTGTCTGGATGTGTCTGTTTTGCACTCTTGATGTTTTATAGATTCACCCCTTCACTGTTGTGTGCTTTTTTTCAAGATCGTGGCTGTTTTGTAGATTGTACGCACAAAAAAAACTCAGTATTTTCACATTTTTGCCAATTTCCCATTCATTTTCCATGCGGGTCCATTTGGACCCCAACACCTCAAGTGTGACTATTTTTTTTTTACAACCACTTAGACTACTCACATCCTGTCCCCAATTTTTTTGGGTGTTCAAATACCAAATACCAACAAAGTCACCAAATTTCAGACCATCCCGAGGAAGCTGTGATTTAAAAAAAAATTGTATTTAAATTCTTCGGGTCCATTTGGGCCGAACAACCCCAGAGGGTTAAGCGGTCATATTGTGATGTTACAATATGCCCTTCACACAAAAAAAAATAAATAAATAAAAAATATGCCCTTCACATGTTACAATGTACCCCACCTATGGGGCATGTTGTCACATTTTACTTCCGTTCTTACGGGGTAAATTAAGAAAATAGTATACACTCTATTAATAAAACAAAACCACATAATTGTACTAGATTTACACAAACTGAGACCATTTTGCAAGATGTAAAAAACACTGGTCCGTTTTATTGGTCCCACTTTATATTAAGTGGCTTTAAGTACTATGTACTTACATTGAACAATAAGTACAATGTATTATTGTGTTCGGTTGTATTGTAAAACACTTTTGCTGCTATTGAGGTGTGATACGGGTAAGGTTAGGGACAGGTGTGGTGGTATGGGTCGGTTTAAGGGTAGGTTAAGGTGTGAGAGGAGGGTCAACTGTGTAATTACAAATGTAATTACATAAATTAATTATAGCTGGAATTACATGCCGGAATTTTAAAATGTAAGTACAATGTAAAAACATGTATGTACACAATAAGTCCATTGTATCAAATTATTAATTTCAATGTAAGTACATAGTACTTAAAGCCACTTAATATAAAGTGGGACCGTTTTCTTTATTTCACATGTAAAGAAAACATCTTAAAGATGTGTGTTTAACTTTTTGTTTCAGTTTTATATGTTCTGTTGGTTGTATTTTATCCCAGCTTTTATGTAGTGATAAAAAATTGAAACAGGAAGTGCTTCTGGACCAGTGTTGTTTACATCTTGCGAAATGGTCTTACACTTTAAAATAACATGTTTTCATTTACACTTTTATTCATCCAAAACAAAGCGACATTGTGACTCACGGTGTGAGAATGTTACTTTAGAGGTTTGTACCATGTGCATTGACAGGGAAAACTTTTCAATATTTATTTTCAAATTACAAACAATACATGGATGTACTCCGAATATAAAGCTAATAAAGCATAGATTATAAAACTTTGCCGTTCATTTTACCGGGAAAACAGATAGTAGAATAATGTAAAAATGTCTTACCATGCAGACGTAAGCACGCCAACAGTATGAAAAGAAATAGAGACATGCTTCATTTTCATATTTCCTCAAAGATTAACGCGGCAGATCCAGTGAAGGAAAGTGATCTGTTGTTACTCTGCGTTAGTGGCGACGCCATTATTGTATTATACATAGGCTACACCACTAGTTGAAATGAAAGTAATAATTTGGGTGGATCCTTATGGTGGATCCTTACGCGCTGTGGCTGTAGTGCGATGACGTAGCGGATTGCAAACAACATTTAGGTGCATACCGCCACCTACTGTACTGGAGTGTATATCATCACGTCATTTAACAATTAGTTAAATTCTATTCCACAACAAGTCTTTTAAAAATTTCAATAATGCCTTCCTGGTAATTCTTATATTCTCTCCTTCTGATCCCAGTATCCCTACCAGATTTCATTCCCTCCCTGTCTGCTGAACCTTATCTTTAAACACCTTTCTTTCCACCTCATTAATGTACAGTACAATATTATGTGTTCAGCATTTTCTTTAACCCCACAGTTTCCACATTTCTCACTATTCCTTTTGCCCATTAAAAATAATGTGCCATTTATTCCTGTGTAATCCACCCTTAGCCTTGTCATTACAATTTCCTCTCTCCTGTTTTTTTATTTTTATTTTATTTTATTTTTGCACGTAAATTTTTAATACTGGCAGATTTTTGTATTTTATAATATTTCCTTCCTTTCCTATCTTCTTCCCACCATTTCTGCCATATTTCAAGTCCTTTCCATAATTTTCATTGAACAATATATATATAATAAATATATTATTACATATAAAAATGTAATATTGGCTTATTACAGTACTTTGACTCTGACAATAAAATGTCTTTTCTGAGAACATTTCCAAAAATAAGCACCATGATACACTTCTGTTGCAAACATCTCAAGAGTATAATATGCATGCATAATAATAAATGCATATTGTGGTATTACCAGTAAACACAAGTTCAAGAAAAGGTTAACCCGAAAATGAACTGCACTCTCAGGTCATCCAAGATGTAGATAAGTTTGTTTCTTCATCAGAACATTTTACACTGGAGAATATTATGTGTTATAGAATAGATAAGGAACGGTTAAAAGTTAAAACACAATAATTATTTCTAACATGTTCCTGCTTCTGTCTCTGGACTTTTATGCTGAAGTTTTGTTCCTGTTTCCTCTGCCATGTTTGTAGTCCCTTAAAGTTTTTCTTTTTTGATTGATGGATTTGTTTCATTCATTTAATTAATTGATGGACTGGAGTCATGTTGTATGTATTTATCAGCTGTTTGTTTCTGCTTTTCTCCACGGTGTCTTTCAGCGTAGGTTCAGTTTCTGAGATTTAGAGTTTGATAAAGAACACAATGGAGATATTTCATGGATCAATCCTTGCAAGATTTGAACCTTTAACCGCAAATCTATCTCTCAAATCGACCTGCATGTTGTTTGATTGACAGCTTCTCTAAAAGAGCATTTTCTTGTTAAAAAAATGCAATGTAAAAAATGTACTTCTCCCAGCAAACTTGACCCAGACCTTCAGACTGTTCCGACTCTGTGTGTTGTTACCTATATCTTTTCTAACTGATCTCATGTACGGGATTCCTGTATTGGATTTTCAAACAGGCTCAAATTACCATAGACTTTGAGGGGGTGAAAACTTTTCTATAGAGTATTTAGGACAGGTTAGTCCACCCAACTATTTAATTTCAGTCATAAATTACTCTCCCTCATGTCGTTCCAAAACCGTAAGTCCTTCGTTCATCTTAAGAACTCAAATTAAGATATTTTTGATGAAATTTGAGAGGTTTCTGACCCCTGATAGACTGTAATACCACTTTCAAGGCCCAGAAAGGTAGTAAAGACATAATTAAAATAGTCCATGTGACTCCAGTGGTTCAACATTAATAATGTGGTTGGACAAAAACTTATATTTCTTTAATGACTACATATGTTTGAGAGGTGTTTAATGCTGGTGGTTTTAGACTTTCAATATTGTCCTGTGAGCACGTATAATATTTGAGGGAGGAAAATCGGCAAAGATTCTCTTTAAGTGTGTGCTGCAACCAGTTTCATTCACAATAGGTTAGGATTTTAAAACACCTGAGCCAGGATAAGTAAATTACTAATAGTGAAATTTTCCCCAAACCAATTAACTGAAAAGAGAGACTTATTTTGGTGTTTAATATATTTATTAGTCCAAAATAGTCATTTATGCGGGGAGAAACTGTGTTTCTATAATCATCCATGATAACAGTGCCTCTTTATTATAGTTTCATGGGAAGCTTATTACTGTTAAAATTACAATTAAGGAGAAATGCAATACCACATACTTTTTCAAAAGTAACATTAGGGATATAATAGCATCATATATCTTTGGAACGAATATGATTTTTGTATCAATTTAATTTTAAATATAGGCCTAGAATTGGATATTTCAAAATCAAGTACATTCATTTAGTCAAATTAGATCTACATAGTATTTTTTTTTTTTCCAAATGAAATTATATTTACGCTTATTTATCTCATTAATGATGTGTTTTTGGGATATGTATTGCAATCATTGCGTAAACTAATCCTTCAAATGATCATTTAAAGATAATTCTCTCATTAGCCATGTGTCGAATGTATTTTTAATTTTCTTGATTAATGGGGTGTAATTAAGATTTATTCTTTCTTTTGGTCTTTTATTAATTCCTAATTAAGAAAAATGTTTTTTTAATTAGAATGCCATCCTGACAAGTTACTGAGGCTTTCTTTTAATGCAAACAATTCACAATATTTAATATTTCCTCTATAACTCACAGCATGCTAATTCAAATCATTCTTTAGTTTTGTCCATTGCTGGATATTGTATAGCGGACTTTAAACAGCCTTTTAGCAGCACATTCTTAATGCATTCAGATTAAAAGGCAATGATTGATATACATAAATCTGCAGAACAACAGTACAAGTTTAATTTTGTTATAAATACGAGCAGCAAACAGATGTTTTTGGTGTATTTTACAGTATTGCATTCAACAGACTCAAACCACAGAAAGCCTCAGTTTCAGATCTGGAAAGAAATGTGGTTTCATCTGTTGAGAGCATGTGCGTGAGAATGTGTCCGTACTGGACGTTTATGGTTAATGTGCTCTAATTTGCTCTTTTTGAGGTTTTAATAGTGTGAGAGTGTTTCTGTGAATAGTGTGTGTGTGTGTTCTTATGAATCTTGTGGGATTGAAGAGCTTCCACAATTTTACTTCCTCTTCATGCAAAACATGACGTTTACTGCTAAATAAAGTACAGAATGGAAAATGTTTATTCTTTTTGTAACATCTGACTGTGTGAATGTGAAATATTAATATATATGTGTATTCCGCAGCATTTGCATCCGTCTATACATCCATGATCCTCTGTAATAAAATTGATTGATTACAAACTTTGAAAAAAAAAAAATAGAAAGTTTGAAAGATAGAAACAGAAGTGTGGAGAATGAATGGCATGGAGCAGTTGTTATCTACACTCACTTAAGGATTATTAGGAACACCATACTAATACTGTGTACTGCGCCTTCAGAACTGCCTTAATTCTACGTGGCATTGATTCAACAAGTATTCTTTAGAAATGTCGGCCCATATTGATAGGATATCATCTTGCAGTTGATGGAGATTTGTGGGCACGAAGCTCCCGTTCCACGACATCCCAAAGATGCTCAATTGGGTTGAGATCTGGCGACTGTGGCGGCCATTTTAGTACAGTCAACTCATTGACATGTTCAAGAAACCAATTTGAAATGATTCATGGTGCATTATCCTGCTGGAAGTAGCCAGAGGATGGGGACATGGTGGCCATAAAGGGATGGACATGGTCAGAAACAATGCTCAGGTAGGCCGTGGCATTTAAACGATGCCCAATTGGCACTAAGGGGCCTAAAGTGTGCCAAGAAAACATCCCCCACACCATTACACCACCACCACCAGCTGCACAGTGGGAACAAGGCATGATGATCCATGTTCTCAGTCTGTTTACGCCAAACCATCTGAACGTCTCAACAGAAATCGAGACTCATTTTTCCAGTCTTCAACTGTCCAATTTTGGTGAGCTCTTGCAAATTGTAGCCTCTTTTTCCTATTTGTAGTGGAGATGAGTGGTACCCGGTGGGGTCTTCTGCTGTTGTAGCCCATCCGCCTCAAGGTTGTGTGTGTTGTCTTCTTCACAAATGCTTTGCTGCATACCTCGGTTGTAACGAGTGGTTATTTCAGTCAAAGTTGCTCTTCTATCAGCTTGAATCAGTCGGCCCATTCTCCTCTGACCTCTCGCATCAACAAGGCGTTTTCGCCCACAGGACTGCCGCATACTGGATGTTTTTCCCTTTTCACACCATTCTTTGTAAACCCTAGAAATGGTTGTGTGTGAAAATCCCAATAACTGAGCAGATTGTGAAATACTCAGACACCAACCACCATGTCACGCTCAAAATTGCGTAAATCACCTTTCTTTCCCATTCTGACATTCAGTTTGGAGTTCAGGAGATTGTCTTGAGCAGGACCACACCCCTGAATGCATTGAAGAAACTACCATGTGATTGGTTGATTAGATAATTGCATTAATGACAAATTGAACAGGTGTTCATCATTTAGGTGAATGTAAATATTTACACATATCACTGCAAATGCTCATTAACACATGTACTGTAAAATATTTTTTGGAATATTTGGAAATAGGCTCATTTTACAACTCCCCCAGAGTTAAACTGGGGAGTTAAAGAGTTAAACAGAGTTGGGTTTTACCGTTTTCGAATCCATTCAGCCGATTTTCTGATATTTAGAAGAATATCAGTAACCAGACAGTTTCTGGTCTCATTGACTTCCATAGTAGGAAAAAAATATACTATGGAAGTCAATGAGACCAGAAACTGTCTGGTTACTGATATTCCTCTAAATATCAGAAAATCGGCTGAATGGATTCGAAAACGGTAAAACTCAACTGTTTAACTCTGGGGGAGTGGTAAAATGAGCAAATTTCCAAAAAAAAGTGGAGTATCCCTTTAAATGGTGTCCTGACTGCTGATTCTGACAACTTGTACAAATCAAGAAAGAACTGTTGCTGTTGTTTTTAATTAAATGCATTTTAATCATTTTGGTATCACAGGCTTTGAGGGCGGGGATTTGAAGAGAGAGAGTGCGTGAGGTGAGGTGTGGTTTAATTTCTGCAAAACTGTACTACATGCACACACAGGTTTCCAAACTTGAGTTAAACTATTACAGAGCACTGAACTGTTGAAGAAAATGTTACACGCGTTTGTTTTTTGCGGTTTCTGCTGTTTCCCTCTAGTTGGTAAGTGACATATTCATCTTTTTACAATTTGAAGAGTTCAGATTCAAAAGCCTCTAAATGCCATTTGAAATTTTCCTCTAAAATGACCATTTTTATCAAGCTTGTATATTTAAGTTCAGTAATTTCGCCTAAATGACAAATAATAGGTAATCTTCATTGCCATTTAAGTGAAATTAATGAATTTAAATATACAAGCTTGATAAAAATGATCATTTTAGAAGAAAATTTCAAATTTAGAGGCTTTTGCATCTGAACTCTTCATTTATAGATTTGCAAGCTGCAATTAACTTCAGTTCCACCATCAATTTATAGCAAAATGAAGATTTTCCATGGTTCAATTTACTTATGTAACTCTTAAACCAAAACTAGAAATGTACTATTTATGCATAACACTGTAAAAAAAAATATTGATGGTTTAACTTAAAAAAGTAAGTAACCTGGTTGCCTTAAAATTTTAAGTTGATTGAACTGGAAAAAGTGAGTTAATACAATGAAGGAGAATGATTTAATCATCAGAAACTCAAAATTATATGTTATCTGAACTAAATAAATTATTTAAGTTGATTTGACGAAAGAAAAAAATGTTGTGATTACTACACTGTAAAAAAAATTGTTGGTTTAACTTAAAAAAGTAAGTAACCTGGGTTTGCATTAAAATTTTAAGTTGATTGAACTGGAATAAGTGAGTTAAAACAATGAAGGAGATTAATTTAATCATCAGAAACTCAAAATTATATGTTATCTGAACTAAATAAATTATTTAAGTTGATTTGACGAAAGAAAAAATGTTGTGATTACTACACTGTAAAAAAAATTGTTGGTTTAACTCAAAAAAGTAAGTAACCTGGGTTGCCTTAAAATTTTAAGTTGATTGAACTGGAAAAAGTGAGTTAGAACAATGAAGGAGATTAATTTAATCATCAGAAACTCAAAATAATAAGTTATCTCAACTAAATAAATTATTATAAAGTTGAAAATGAAAATATGTCATGATAAAAAATCTTGAAAACATTTTTTTACAGTGTGAAGATGTGAATTCAGATAGCCGTTTTCTTCGCCGCATTCATTTTTTGCCATTTCAAACTTTCTAATTAATTTTTTCAATGTTTGTAATCAATTCAAAACTACTTAACTTTATCAAACCAAACATTTTTTATTTTCAAGACGTGTCACTGAGAAACCATTTCTGTTCCTTCTTCAGGTGTGTTTGGTGATTCGGATTCAGTGAAGTCAGTGATGGAAGGAGATTCAGTCACTTTAGACATTATTGTGACTGAAATACAGGACATGAACAGGATCATATGGAAGTTTGGAGCTAACGAGTCAACCATAGCTAAAATAAATAAAGAGTCCAGTAAGATAAATGATGATGTTCCTGATGGGAGATTCAGAGACAGACTGAAGCTGAACAATCAAACTGGATCTCTGACCATCACAGACATCAGAGACACACACTCTGGAGTTTATGAAGTGATCATCAGCAAAAGCAGCAGAAGCAGCACAACCACACACAGATTCAACGTTACTGTCTATGGTGAGTAGAGCATTACAGCTCACTGTATTTTACAGGATATTACAGATATCGCTCCAAGCTTCACAAAAAAAATGTTATTAAAAACATTCAAAAGCAACAGCAGTGTATAACACATTCACTCACTCAACTTTGTATTCCAGTTTGACAATGTAAAGTTTAAAGTGTAGCTCAGTGAATGGACCTGATATGACCTCGTGCATAGCCTGCATGACAACTGTGTGTTAAAACCACAATTTATTCTCATTTCTCCTATTTGTGTCATGTTTTCCAGCTCACCTGCCTGTTCCTGTCATCAGTAGAGACTATTCTTTATTATCTTCATCATCATGTTCACTTGTGTGTTCATCTGTTGTGAATGTGAGTGATGTGACTCTGTCCTGGTACGCAGGAATGAGTGTATTGTCCAGCATCAGTGCGTCTGATCTCAGCATCAGTCTCTCTCTACCTCTGGAGGTGGAATATCAGGATAAAAACACCTACAGCTGTGTGCTGAACAATCCCATCAGCAACCAGACCACACATCTGGACATCAACACACTCTGCCACACATGCGCAGGTACTGATATTAGGCGCTGATATTAGTTGGATTTATACGCTGAAATAATTAATTGATTTTATTGACACTGATAACTTGATGCCAGACATCATTAATAAGCTTCTGTCATCATTTACTCTTTTTATTATAATTTTGAGTTTGTGACAGCTGAAGTCGAAGATCTAAATTCTATCGGGGTTTGTTTTTCAGAAGTCCGCGTCCATTGTTGTGATTCTGTTGAAGCTGTGCTGCGATTGGTCGTCACTGCGCTGATGGGCGTGGCTGCTGCGGTTGCTGTTGTTCTTCTGGTCAATGAAGTCAGATCTACAAGAATTTAAATAGAGAAAACAGAACAGATATTATAAATATTTTGGCATATGAATATAAATCCGTAAAGATGTAAAAATTAGTGGTTTAATTGCCTAGCGATATGAAACAACTATTTGCTTACCAATGCTTTGGTGTATTCAAAACAATGAATATTCTATAAAATTTCATCTTAATCTTCAATGCTTTCCATTTTACATTCCTGTTAATCCCACAGTTTTAATTAATTTAATTTTTCCAGCTTGTTTTATAGGCTATGCAGCCACCCCACAAATACAAATGTAAAAATATTTGTTTAGCAATAATAAACTACATCTACCGTTGTAACAGCAAATGATTCAATCCCTATTGCAAATTCAGCTGTTAATGTCTTCTCCAGACTCTATATAATTGCATCCCCTGCATATAATTACTTGACATTAGGGTTTAAAACAGCGGACGTTGTTTTGTGACCTATTTTGTATTGAAGTCTATGGGAAGTCTTTTTATTTTCCCCTAAATGTGGGCGTGAATCTGTTCAGAGACATGATATGACGTTGCGACGGTTGTGAGTAGTAGTTCTGATTGTACGTATGGTCACTCGGCAACTAGGCATGACTTGCCGAAATGGGAACAGGTATTCCGGAAGGGAACAGATCGACTGCCTCACCTGAAGCGGGGGCGCTGAAGGACTCGAGACAGAGGACATAAATAACTCTTTAGATCATCTACAACCGCTCAACACATCAATATGATGGGCGCATTTATACTCGTTCTTTTCCCATTATTGTCGAGCGGTAAGTGTTTTGTTTGTTTGTTCGTTCGTTCGTTTGTTTGTGTGCACTTTCGGTTTCGCGCATTTTCTTTATAATATAGCCTACTTGGTACCAGAGGTTAAATAAATGCGATTTTTATCTAGGTGTGATCAATCTTTTTGTAAACTAAAACAAAGAGTCATATTTTAGACTAGACACCATTTATTTTCATCTTGTTTTGTGGCTTTGTAGACTTTAGAAGGAATAAGGAGACATTTTAAGTAGTATTTTTAATGTGGCGAATCAGCAATGATGTCCTCTAGTCTCTAAGTCTCATCCATGACGGTTTCTGTTTGTCCAGGTGTGTTTGGTGATGTTGTGGTGACAGTGATGGAGGGAGATTCAGTCACTCTACATGCTGATACAAAAATACAGATAAAGGAAATTGACTGGAGGTTTGGAGAAAAACTCATTGCTGAAATTGATATTGAGACCAGCTATAGTTGGTATGATGAAGCTTTAAAAGACAGACTGAAGCTGTACAATCAGACTGGAGATCTCAAAATCACAAACATCAGAATCTCAGATGCTGGATCATATAATCTACAGGTCAACAGTGAAGAGTCACCATCAAAGAACTTCACCATCAACGGTGAGTGTGTCAGTTTGGTTTATTTAATAATTATATCACAATTATTTATAATTAAAGTTATATGATTTAATTGTTAAAGGACTGTGATTTATTGTTTAGTTAAGTATTTCATGTTAAGAACGAGAAAATGGATAAACAGCCCTTTCATATTTTTATACAAGCTTTCCTTTGCTATTAGGATTTTTTTTAAGATTGTGGGTAAGGTGTATGGATATCCACTGAAGGCAGGCTTGTAGAACCCAAGTGCAGTTTATTGATAACATTAACAAAACTAAAACATGACACGACGCATCAAGCGTACCTACAGAGATTACAGTGAGATAATAATAGACCAAGACACATGGTAAATATGAGGGCTTAAATACACACAAGATTAATGACTAGACAAGGGACATCTGTAAACAATGAACCAATGACAACATGACACATTAGACAAGGAAACACATGGCAGGATCACATGACTTACAAGGGATCAAAACGTTACAGAGACAAGACCAAAATGTTGACATAAGGTGAGTAAATCAGTGCAGCCATCAGGCAGACTCATAAATCATTATATTTTTTAATTTGCGTTGTATATATTTATTCATAGAACACAGTTGGGTTGGCCAATTAGAAAGGTGGAAGTTTGGTTTAGGGGCTTTTTGTTTCAAGGATGCTAATTTGCATGCCACGCTGGATGGGCGTTAGCTGATGAAGAAACTATCTTGTTATCGACCAAGTTATAGAGACCAAACATTGTTTAGGAGAGGTTACATCGACCGTTAGTTCTATCAAAATAGTCCACCGTCTCACAAATAAAAATGAATAGAATTAAGACACTGCACAAAACAGTAACTCATTCACACAATTTTATGGGTTGCATGTTCATTTATAGATCCGTCTATGATAAATGCAGCAATGTTTCAAAGTCTGTTTCTGTCTTCACATTCTTCACAGCAATAAAACCAACTTATCTGATCGTAGTCATGGTCTTGCCCCTGTTGGGGGATGGGACCGCAGATCCCAGAGTGAGTTTTAAATATTATTTGTCACCTAAAACAAATAATTGTGTCTGATTTGTCTCAGTCGTTACAACACACTATATATAACATTTATTTATATAGTTATGACGACAGTGATGACGTGCCCAAGCCGCTTGAGCCACCCGCCCGTCATGCCTTTAAAGGCATCGGGGTGGGCCCGTAATCGCTTCATGCAGCTATATTTCTCTTTTAATTTATAGAGTAGGGGCACTGGTAAACAAGAGATCAAAATATAGTTTGGGTAGGCATGATATGTTTGTTTTTTACATTTCATAAATGACCTTTTTTTATAAAATTTTCTAGAAAGATGTCAGACTCTTAATTATTATTAGGCAAATACAAATATTAACTCTTCGGGGTCGCTGATCACGCCGGCGTGATCAAGTCACATGACCAGTTTAAGACGTCGAAGCATAGAAACAAAGTCACCTTGAGCGCTGCCGTTCACTTCTGTCGAAAGTGCTGACTTGAAATTCTATTTTACTTTTTGTTTTGTATTGATAGACCAAGTAAAAACAGAGATATGATCATTTAAACTTTATATAAAAAACGCCAGATGGGATGCGACAGGCGTTGCATTTATTCTTATAACTTTGACGGTTTTTGTCCTAAAACACAACAGAGTAAAATGTGTGAATCTGCTGACTCTGTTCGGCTGTACATTTTAGGGAATGGAGGAGGAGCCAACTGAGCAAAGAAGCGAAATTGAAAGGCAGGAGATTTACGGAGTAGACAAAGAGAGACATATATACGTTATATATAGAGAGAGAGATATTATTGTTAGTTTTTGGAAGTTTGAGTAGATTTTGAGAGTAGTTTAGGGGTAGATTTAGATACTGTTTTGAGGAGTGGCACAGATAAAATAAATAAAAAAATTACACCGGATATTTGTTGTAAATAGTATGTATAGTTTGATTTTGTGTTCATTTTACATTTTGTATGGTATATTTGCACTATTGAGGAACTCTTACTCAAGGAATGAAAGCCCTGTAATGTAGCTATCTGTGTAATCGTACATGAAGTATTTTGTAGAGTTTCAAAGAAAAAAAGAAAAGAAAAAACGCCCATTACCTCACCTGTTTTTTGCTGTATATATCTCAATTTGAACTTTTTTTGTGTTGTTTTATGCAATATTTGGGAAACCTCATACTCTGGGAATGCAAGGCCTTAATTATAGCTCTCTGTATAATTGTGTGCACAACATTTTCTTAAAAGTGGCAAAGCTAAAAAGAAAAAAGAAACATAATATTTTTTTTGTGTATACCTTGATTATATCTGTGTTGTACCTGTATATGTTGACATTTACAACTTGTGTTTACATTTTGAACCCTTTAAAATGCTTAATTGAGCATGTTTTCTAGTAGAAAAGCTATAACTTTTCTATTCGGATTTTGTGGGTTTTTTTGTGTGTGATTTTGGGTCCAGTATGCTGATACGGTACATCAAAGTGAAAAACTAATTGTCTGGTCATATCAGTGATGTTGTGCTGAAAAAAATGATACCAAACATTGGTATGGTAAACATTTGTTTATGTTTCCCAAAAAAAGTACTCAAATGGCGAAAATAGCCCAAGACTCCGAAGGGTTAATAAAAGTTATACATAAACATCAATAATCTTAAATATGGAAATCTGGCTTACACCTGTATTACACTCCACCCACTTGACAAATTTTTAATATACTCTTTATAATTTATAGTCTTCAAGCACATCGTTTTGATTTTTCTATTAAAGGGAAACTCCCCTTTTTTTGTTTTCCCTATAAAAGAAGCCACCTCGTCTGCTCAACAACACGAGTCAAAGAAAACGTATATGAGACAAGTTTAGGTGCGCACACACAGCACATGGATATAGTTATACACTATGATGTTATAAAATACTTCTCTTAAATCAGTTAAAACACTTAATTTCAGTGTTTCTGTCATCGCTTTATCTCTTTCCAGACTCAAACTGTGACTTTGGACTAATGAAGATCTGAATAGCTGCATTATAGTCTTATTAATAATTCCTGTTTCTTCACCAGTTGTGCCTATAAATCAAAGGCCGTCACTGTCAGTGCCCATGGGAGAGTGTGTTACTGTAAACACTAGTGATTTTGAGCCAAATATATATGATGTGATACGCTGGAGGTTTGGAGATCAGAAATCTCCTATAGTTGAAGTCAATAGAGCGACTGGAGACATCCCTAAATATGACAATATTGCTGATGGGAGATTCAGAGACAGACTACAGCTGGACTATTGGACTGGATCTCTGACCATCACACACACCAAACCCACAGACTCTGGAGAATATGAAGTTGATATAATTAGCAACAGCAAATACACCATACACAAGACATTCAGTGTGACTGTCAGAGGTGAGTACATCAAGTCTTTTAGTGTAATAATACTGTAACCAATACACTAATCGTTTATGTTAGTTAGTTATGAACATCTGTATCTGCATTAAATGCTGTTGGCATGTTTCTGAAGGTTTTAAACGGTTTAATCTGAATTACTGTTTGTAATATCTTCATTGAGATCAGTCGTGTGTTCACGGCAGTAAAACAGAAATACAGAAGATGAACAGTGAAAAGGAGAATCATGATTTCTGAAATGACTCATTTATGGTTCATCTTTAACATAATCAGATTCATGTTTAAGTAGATCAGACTGAGAGATTCACTCTGATTCACACTGATGACTCTCTCTTTATCATCACAGATCCAGGTCTGTCTGAAGGTGCTAAAGCAGCGATCGGGGTTGGTTTTGTTGGTTTTCTGCTGGTGTGCGCAGTTGGAGCTGGTGTTAGGTTTTACTATCGCCGCAAGATCTCTGAACTACAAGCACGTAAGTATTACAGCTGATAAAGTGAGAGAAACACAGCTTCATTATGATACAGTAGAGATTAAAAGTGTTGTACAGTAGAGATTTGTATGTGTGTGTTGTAGTTTTCTCATAAAAACGAGGTTAGAAAGAAACAATACACGGATATTAAAGAGCACTGACCTGTGGTTTTGTTTGAATTGTAAGGACCGCCCATCGACCCAACGACGGACGACCCAACGATGGAATCCAACAGCGTGGGCGAAGGTAAGTTTTGTGTATGTCTTTTCAACGCTTCGGTGAAGTTCACCTTATTTATTTGCATTTATGTTCCATATTACTTTAATCTGTTCATCTGACTCCAATTTCGAAAGATCATCAAATTTAGATTGTGTTTCTTATTAGAAAGTTATCATAAATATTGATTATGATTTAATTTAGATCTTTGATAATTCTGGGCCTATCCCATACGTTCGAATATTTATTCATTAAGGACTCGGTGTCGCTTTGAGACGTCATGCCGTGAATGTGCGCTCACGGTCACAAACTAGCCAGTCCTGAAATAGTCAGAGGATGCAGTGCAACTATTTTACCCTTGAAAAGCCGCTCAATACTGACGGCTCTAATACTGCTAATGCCAATAAAATAGATGATTAAAAGCCAATTCAGAAATAATAAATGCACACATTACCCTCAAATGAGTCAACCCTCAAACACTCTCCACTACAAATAGGAGAAATAGGCGACAATTGGCAAGAGCTCACCAAAACTGGACAGTTGAAGACTGGAAAAATGAGTCTCGATTTCTGTTGTAGTCAGAATTTGGCGTAAACAGAATGAGAACATGGATCCATCATGCCTTGTTCCCACTGTGCAGGCTGGTGGTGGTGGTGTAATGGTGTGGGGGATGTTTGCTTGGCACACTTTAGGCCCCTTAGTGCCAATTGGGCATGGTTTAAATGCCACGGCCTACCTGAGCATTGTTTCTGACCATGTCCATCCCTTTATGGCCACTCATCCTCTGATGGCTACTTCCAGCAGGATAATGCACCATGTCACAAAGCTTGAATCATTCTCCATCAAGATGCAAGATGCTTTCCTTTCAATAATATGGGCCGACATTTCTAAAGAATGCTTTCAGCACCTTGTTGAATCAACGCCACGTAGAATTAAGACCGTTTTAAAGGCGAAAGGGGGTCAAACATAGTATTAGTATGGTGTTCCTAATAATCCTTTAGATGTGTGTATAGGCATTCTTTGTGAACGTTTGATGACTTGGTTTAGAGGGAGAGGGGAAATGCAGAGATGAGGGAAAAATGTTTGGACTGGACAATGTCATGTTGCTTTGTCTTTGCAATCTTCTATCCAGGTTTTATGGCTTAATTGCAGGGTGAGTTTTATTTTAACTGGAAAATCAGTTCTTAAAGGGTTAGTTCACCCAAAAATGAAAATTAAGTCATTAATTACTCACCCCCATGCTGTACCAACCCCGTAAGACCTTCGTTCATCTTCGGAACACAAATGAAGATATTTTTGATTAAATTTGAGAGCTGGATCACTACCACATAGGCTCCTAAGGGACTGGCTCTTGACGGCCCAGAAAGTCAATGAAGAAAATGTTTAAATATCCCATGTGACTACAGTGGCTCAACTATAAGTTTATCAAGCGACAAGAATACTTTTTGTGTGAAAAAACAAACAAAAATAACGACTTTATTCGACTATTCTTCTTATTCCTTGTTGGCCTGAAACGAGACTTCAATACGATTTCCACGACGCATGCGCGAGAACTGAACTTAAGTAGTTGAAGGAGATCGCAATTCTCGCGCATGCGTCGTGGAAATCGTATGGAAGTCTCTAACCCTTTAAGTGCTCCGAATGCATTTTTATATAACTTTAAACATCAAATTTAGTGTTGAGTGGCAATTTATAGCTGGTCCACACTTTTTAAAATTTATGAAGGTGTCTAGGCTTACTTAAAGTAAAACTACTTAAACAAAAGACTATTGTTTTAACTATTGACAAAAGACTAGCAGGTGATAAATGTGGAGCAAATGATCATGTTGATTTTGTGCCTTTCTGTTTCTGTTTGCTTCTGTGAAGGGAATGATGAAGTGAGGACAGTGTCAGTGATTCAAGGAGAACCTTTTACTCTAAACCCTGATGGAGAACATAAAGACGACAAATTAATTTGGTCATTTAGAGGCTTTTGTATTGCTGAGAGGAAAATCTCTAATGATAGATTCAACGTACCTGATGATGTTCTTGATGGGATATTCAGAGACAGACGGAAGCTGAACGATCAAACTGGATCTCTGACCATCACACACACCACAACTGAACACACTGGAGTTTATGAACTACTGATCATCAGACCGGGAAAGAGCTCAGTAAAGAAATTCAGAGTTTCTGTCTTTGGTGAGTTACTGGAGACCTCGACAACTATCTGAGAGCGTAACGTGCCGTGACGGCACATTATTAATCATACACACATTATTAATCATGAACACATTAGCTCATGAAAATCATTCAATCAAATCTCATCAGTCTTTTGATTGAAAGTAAAAATGATTAGCAGTTTATCAAGCTCCCCACTATAAATATATAAAGTGTAGAGGTAATCAGGATAAAACCATTATTACTGGAACAATAAGAACAGAAAACAAAGAGGAACATAAAACAAACCACAATGAAACATGATATTCAATAAAAATGATATTGTTTCCTGGCATGAACACAATTAAACACAGAGAATATGATTGGTCCGACACACACATCACAACACACATGAGATTTGTGGCCATTTGACTTGCTTAATAGATTTATACCATCATTTAGATTTGTATATAAAAATAGAAATTACATTAATTTAATTGATATCAATAAAAATGTTAGCTTTTTAGGAATGGAGGAATTTATCCATGTTGCTTTTACTACTTCGTTTTGTTTTTCTGTTCTGTTTCTATGTGTAGATCAGACAGATGATATAAAGACAGTGTCAGTGAAGAAGGGAGAATCTGTCACTCTGAAGACTGGTGTCGATGACATACAGATATTTGAAGAGATCCTGTGGAGGTTTGGACGATTCACTCTCCTGGCTGAAATCAGAGGAGGGACAATCAACTCACCACTGGAAGACAGACTGGATCTGGATCATCAGACCGGATCACTGACCATCAAGAACAGCAAACCCACAGATGATGGAGTGTATATGCTTTGCAAAATTGAAGGAGGAAAGATCACAACTAATTTATTCAGGGTCGAAGTCGGTGAGTAAATCAAATATGTCAGTATAACAACAATCTTATTTTAGATCAGCCCTGTCAGATATTTAGATGAATGACTGGATTTGTGTGATGACACTCTGATTTCTGTCAGAACAGACTCTGTCATTGTGTGTGTATAATTGTAAATTATTGTGTTCTGTTAAGAAATCTAAATGCAAATAATACATTCAAAGTCAACTCATCCTTACTCTCTCTTTCTCTCGATAAAAGCAAAGTTTTCCTTTAACATGATCTGTCTCGTGTGTTTTCTTTCAGATCCCACTGATAACAGAAATAACCTAGTGGAGGAAAGTGTGAGAAGTATGTATCCAGTGTAACATTATCATTGTTAATAATAAATCTAAATCAACTCTCCTTACTAATATATATATATATATATATATATATATATATATAAGCAAAGCTTTTCTTTAATATGATCTGTCTCGTATGTTTTCTTTCAGAAAATAATCCAGAGGAGAATGTGCCTTTGATTTGATGAGAATAGGTGTTCCCTGACTCCAGACTGTGACATTATCAACATTGAAAATAAAAATAAAAAATCAGATTTCTCCTGATGTGAGTCTCTAAACCCCTGAAACCCATACAAAACTCGGAAAAAAATTTGGACACGAACTGGGGTCCTCTGTCAGAGACCATGTTCTCGAGAGGCCATGTAAGCGAAAGACGTGATCAGCGCTGTCTACGCTGTCTAGCTGAGGGTAATTTGGGTAAAAAATGGATAAGGGATAACGAGTGCCGCCTTCAAGAATCGGTCCACCACGGTTAAAATGACTGTGTGACCCTGGGAGGGCAGTGATAAAATCTAGAGCGAAATGGGACCAGGGTTTCGAAGGGTTGAAGTAACCCATCTTGGGGTCGATTGGAAGTCTTACCAGTGGCACAAACCGAGCAAGCCAAAACAAAACTGGGAATGTCACGAGCCATGAGTGGCCACCAGAACCGTTGCTTGACTAAAAAACTAGTGCGATTAACTCCTTGATGACAAGCCACGTTGGAGCAATGACCCCACTGAATGACGTCAGACCGTAATCCCTCCGGCACAAATAAACGATTCGGCGGGCCGTCGGGCGGAGGCGTTACCCCTTCCAAGGCCGTTATAACCCTCGATTTGACCTGCCATACGAGTGTGGAGATGTTACGACCCTTAATCTAGTTCAGCTCGTTTTAAATTCCACAATAGACCAGGACCGAACATATCAGAAATCACAGACGATTGGGTAGCGTTTCTGGTGTTAAACACCATAAGTTTTAATAAGAGAGACCAAGCACCTTGAGAGATGAGCAAACAATAAATCATATATTAACCAAAATGAATAACACAGGTTGGGCAGCTAAAGGAAAAACAGAATAATATGGAAGATGAAAATAGATTTCATAAATTTGAAGAGAGGATGTATATTTCAACAGTAGCCTATAACTCTGCCTATTATCTCTGGCTGCGTGTCTCGACCACGGATTAATAAAAAAAGTGTACAAACTTCTTGGTTACACAGATATATGGTGTATATTATGAGGTTATTTAACGCATGATCTAAAAAAATAGCTCTGAATAAACAACAACAGAGCAGAAGCGCTTGTCGACCTACGCGAGGAATACGCATCAGGTCTGAACAGGCGCAGGGCCGCGCGTGATTTTCCGTTCCGCGCCGTATCCGCGTCGCTTCAGCGTCCGGTGTGAACCCGGCGTAACGCTGCCAACAACTCTCGGTTACCAATGTCATAATTACGTTCGGCATGGGACAAATAATCCGTCAAAAACGCACACGGATGCATCCTGTCGTCTGTGGGAGAACGCTGGGATATCACTGCACCTACCCCCAAAAACTCTGACACGACCTCCACCACGAACTGACGTGATATATCAGGGGCAATGGGAGCCGAAACGAAGCGGCCTTTCAGTTTGGCAAACGCTGCCTCAGTAGCGTCTGACCACCTGAACGTAGTTGCCCCTACTTCCAGAGTCACTGTCGAGCCCTCTTGAGGTGTCGTTGTCACGGTAGACAAATTCATTGCTTCCTTCTCGTCAGATGATCCGATCATGAATTAATCCCCTTAAAGTTTATCCTAACAATTAGAGCCCGACGGATAAAGGATTTTGAAGTCCGATACCGATACAAATAGCCTATTTATTGGTTTTAAAATCTGATATTCCGATATATCGGCCGATATAATTTTTTTTTTAAATTATTATTTCAGAAACGCGCAACAAATTGTAAAACATACATTTTCAATATAACAGGCCAAGGAGAGATGAGACGTCTCATTGCTATAACTGTCACGTGCTATTAAAGAAATACTTCAGTCACATTGTCTATAAAGTTAAAAGGTCTACACTTTAACAACATAACTATTACTAGCTAATTCCGCTTCACTCTCGGCTTATTTAACAGCAGCAAAACTGGACATGATAGTCACACATTTTGTTTGAGTTAAAAGAACTGATGCAGATGGTCTTTTAATTTTTATTCAAGCAATGTATATCTCGTGACCAACTCAACGAGTGTTGCCAAGATGTAGAGTGCCCTCTGGTGGACAAACTATACAACTCCAACACTCATGACATGGTTCAAGCGTGTTTCCTCCGTTTTTTTTTTTGTTGTTTTTTTTTTTAAATATTCATTTATCGGCCATTATAACTGCCGATACCGATAGTTTGGAAAATGCCTAATATCGGCCGATAATATCGGCCTGCCGATATACCGGTCTGGCTCTACTAAAAAACTATTTTAGACAATTGACATTAATATTTAATTATAATTCTTGTGATTTGATTATTGATAGTACAATTTTTCACTGCATTCAATCGTTCATTCAGAACATTGGCAACTTATTCCCTATACGGGTAATTTTATAATTTGTAGGTGATTCCCCGATCATGTTTCCTGATTAGTTATTAAAATTATATGTATCTGAGCTAATAGGAATATCCCAGGAGTCTTTTTTTTTTGCCAGAAGAGTCAAATGTTCTCTGGATGTAGTTTGAAGTTTTGTATTTAAGATTTTGAGAAAGTGGCTGATGGTTTTGACTAATTAGTTTTAGTAATTCAGGAAACTGTGCCCATGTATGGGTTAGACTTCCTATACTGCCATGCTCATAAAAGCAGAGGCAGCATCTTTTTTCAGTTAACTGTGTATGCGATGGAAAACTAGCTTCAGCCTCACACATCACTGCACGCTTTATTTTTCTGTCTATTTAAAGTCGACATCTGTTTAATTGTTTGACTTCCAGGAGACGTGTGTGTGTGTCAGTGTTATTTTTTTTCTCTGACACACTGGCTCATGAAACATGTCATTATGTGCTTATATCTTTCAAGTATAGAAATTGGTGAACTAATTATGAAAGTTTCCTTTATTTTTCAGTGCATTTGTTTTAAAATAGCCTATATATGGCTATTACTATCATGAGATTAATATTAGGCTATAGCCTAACTATTATTATGTAGTATAATGACACTAACTAAAAGAGGTTTGAATTTTTCTTTGTTTAATTTGTACCCTGAATATGGGTTGGAGCTTTTAATTTTGAACTCTCAAAGTGCACCAGACTGCTGAATTTAACATTAAAGATCACAAAATGTTCTTACGGGGGATGCATGCCCCCCAACCCCCCTAGAGAACCCCACTTTTGCAAAGTAAGCAATGGCGCACATCCAAGTGAACGAGACAGAAGGCAGTTAGCGAGTGAAGAGAATGACTGGAACACAACCCAGATCGTCTGCGGTGAGCCCGAAGATCTGGCTTCATGAAATGTTGACTCAGGGGTAAAGTCAGACAATTGTGACACTTTTTTTCCAGAGCCTAGCCATAAGATCTTCACACAGAAACAAATGGGAACAACCACTCAAAACTAACAGTGTTCCAACCCTTATATGCCAACCCTTGATTAGACCCTTATTCATCGTCTGGAGTCGTTTAAAGCCCTTTGAAGCTGCACTGAAACTGTCTTTTGGACCTTGAGCTGTTTGGTTCCCATTGAAGTCCATTATGTGGAGAAAAATCCTGGAATGTTTTCATCAAACATTTTAATTTCTTTTCAACTGAAGAAAGAAAGACATGGACATCTTGGATGACATGGGGGTGAGTAAATTATCAGCAAAAGTTTTTTTTTTTTTTTTTTTTTTAAGTGAACTACTCCTTTAAACCGCATGTGCAGCCACAGAACGCGTTCTCTCTGACATTCCAGCTCTCCAGTAGTAGCCACGCCCACATGTTCTAAATTTGACGAATCAAATCTCCTGTAGAGAGAACTCAAGCACTTTCTCTCTCCGGCGCTGTATTTAAGCAATGCTCCATTCATTCAAAGTATCAAAGGACATTTGAGGGGAAACATGGAGACAAAGAAGATTTTCGTTTATTTGCTCACAGTTTTGGCATTCCTCTTGCAAAGTAAGACATTTATTTATTTATTTCTCTCGATGATTTAGGGTCAACGATTTAAAAAGGAAAAACAAAAATGAGTTTATAGAGCTCCCAGCTCAAACAGGAGACAGACCTGTCAGTCCAAGAACCAGCTATAGCCTAAACGAGCCATAATAATATTTAACAACTTCTATTTTTCTTTACTGAACAAAGATCAACAATACCGTTAACATTTTGTTTGTTTCAAGTAAAACATTAAAAAATAATAATAACTATAAATGTGTAGATAAATAAAAAGGACTTATCAAATTAACCAAACTTTGAGTGTCTTTGTCTTAACACTGGCAGGAAGGATACATTTTTTTATTTTATTTTTTATAATATTAACAGGTAACATCTAAATAAATTTAACTGTAAAAAATATTTTCATTTGTTATCACAACATATTTTCTTTTGTCAAATCTACTTAAATCATTTATTTACTTCAGATAGCATATCATTTTGAGTTTTTGATGGTTAAATTAATCTCCTTCATTGTATTAACTCACTTTTTCCCGTTCAATGAACTTAAAAAAGTAAGTAACCTGGTTGCCTTAAAATTTTAAGTTAAACCATCAATATTTTTTTACAGTGTAGGAGGATTTGGGCTTACCGATTTTAAATATTATTATTGGCCAGCTAATTTAAGTGAACCACTGAATGGTTAGTAATCGAAAAAGCTTCTTGTGATAAGACTTTGTGTTTTTATCTTTAAAGTATCAATGGAAAAATAGTTATTGATTTCTAACAACAAAAGTAAACAAATTAAGGTAGGCTAGCCTTTTTGAAAATTCCTGACGTATGTGGATACTCCAATCATGCTTTTCCGCCAGGGTTATATAAGTTTTTTTTCAATGGAAACACATAGAAACAGCTCTTTTGAACAGCTAAAACCAAAAATATTTAAAAGCTGTAACCATGTAGCTCAAAGCATGAACCGCTTATAACGCAAAGAGCTAGTATACTGGTTACTGTTTTCATGGCCTTGTGTGTGGTGTGTGTGTGTGTGTGTTATTTGTGTTTGTATGCTGCTTGTTCGATCTAAAGAGAAACTTTTATCATTTTGTATGTCTGCCACAGGTGCATCTGGTGTTGACAAAGTTGAAGTGCCAGTGATGGAGAGAGATTCAGTCACTCTAAACACTGGTGTAAAACTGAACCGACAAGAAAATATTAGATGGTACTTTAATGACACCCTCATCGCTCACATCACTGGAAATCTCCGTTATAACTGCACAGATGTTCAGTGTAATGAAGGTAATGAGAGATTCAGAGGCAGACTGAAGCTGGATTGTTATACTGGATCTCTGACTATCATCAACATCAGAAACAGACACTCTGGAGAATATCAACTAATCATCATCAACGGCAGCGACACTGGATTAATCTTCAATGTTTCTGTTCATGGTGAGTTATGTTTGAATCTCATTGTGTTTATTATATCAGTGACATTCAGAGCTTTTTCTCTTTATCTGAATCATTGAACAGACCCAGCTAGGATTTTTTTGTTCTAAAAATGTTCTGAGAACATTACCATGCAGTGTTCTAATAATGTTTTCAGCGGGTAGTTTTCTTTTGGTTCCTAAAATGTTCTCTTAAAAGTTCTAATAACATTGTCTAAAAACATTTTAAATATGTTTATTGCTAACATTGTTAGAACATTATTCCCTAATGTTTTTATAACATTTTCAGCAGGTAGTTTTCTTTTTGTTCCCAGAATGTTCTCTTAAAAGTTCTAATAACATTGTCTAAAAACATTTTAAATATGTTTATTGCTAACATTGTTAGAACATTATTCCCTAATGTTTTTATAACATTTTCAGCGGGTAGTTTTCTTTTGGTTCCTAAAATGTTCTCTTAAAAGTTCTAATAACATTCTCTAAAAACATTCTAAATATGTTAAATGCTAACATTGTTAGAAAATTATTCCCTGACGTTCTTATATCATTTTCAGCGGGTAGTTTTCTTTTTGTTCCCAGAATGTTCTCTTAAAAGATGGCATAACATTCGCTAAGAACACTCTGAAAATGTTTTGTGATGACCTTCTATAAAGGTTTAATCATAACATTTTTAAAACATTATCCCCTAACTTTCTTATAAAGTTTTTAGCGGAAGTTTATTTTTGTTCCCAAAATGTTCTCTTAAAACCCCTCAAAAATGATTAGCTATAACATTGTTAAAGCATAACATTTTATTAATCTCAAAACTAAAACATCAAAATCTAACAGGTTTAAATGGCATCCACATAAATTATTAGAAGTTCTGCGTACAGTAAATGCCCAACATTACATGAAGAACTCAGTAAAGTCACTCATGCGTCTTGACTGCGGTGTTCATCTCACCGCAGAGACTGCGGAGAGCACTCATCATCAGTCTTTGCTTGTTTTGGTTCTTGCAGAAAAATAATCCAGGAATCTGTATTAATATTACTATTCTCTCTTCTAGTTGTCCAGCTGCTCCCCCAGTTGAGCTCTGTTCTCTGTGTGCACGGTAGAGTTTTTCCTCATAGCCTAAAAAAGAAGATCATGCAAAAGTGTAAACATAAAGAATACACATATACATTAAGATCACGAGCAATATTGACATTGAAAACTTTCAAAATTAGCCAGCCTAATTAGCAGTCAGAAATTATGTAAAGACTAATTTATTGAAAGTATAAATATGATAAATTATGAGTATCTTTTTTGTTTCTGTAATTTAAAACATACTTAATCCATGTATCCAATATCTTAATACAATAAAGTTTTAAAAATGGATATTTTTCTTACACAAATGCTTCGCTTTAAAAGGGCTTTATAACCCGCCAGAGTCATGTGGTGGATTACTTTTATCATGGATGGATGCGCCTTGATAGACGGCCATTCACTGCCATTCTAAAAGTCAGAAGAGTCAGGACATTTTTTTAAATATAACTCCGATAGTATTCATCTGAAAGAAGAATGTTATATACACCTGAAGCCTTGAGAAACGCTCTTTCCAATTCATTAACGTTAACCTCAAACGTTATATGAATTACTGAATTATTATTAACTTTTACTTTCAAAAGACATTAAGATCACTTTTAAGTAAAAATACAGTATTCGTATGCATAGAACACAATACCGGCAGTAGGCTACCTTGGTTGTAAATGGAGACTTTATTGTGTGATCGGTAGGCTAAGTTAATCATCTTGAAACAGTCCGTTTGGAGTCTGCATTAAAACAAATCTAGCTGTTATTCAAAAGTAGCATACACTCAGATTTATTGCGACTGTCATACAATTCTAAGAAAGTAGAAAGTTAGGTCTAATACTGAAAGACATCAAGGATAAGAGAAAGCTATGTAAACTGAAAAAATACACACAAAAACTTACAGTTGTGAAAGAGTTCCGTTGACCAGGAGTTCTGTTGTTTTGGGCCAATGTGTCGCCAATTTAGACAACGGACATTCTGCGCCGATTTCTTCAACAGAAACTTTGCTTTATTTGCGCTGTTTGTCGAGTTCAAATGTTCTTACGTCATGGGAACATCGCGCTGTGATTGGTGGTTTTAAACGTCGATCTACAGCGACCTCCAATCAGCTTCTCATCTCTTGTAAACGCATTTGTCGCAACAGTTTATTTCAGAGTAGCCTAATATATCCTCAAAAAAACACTTTACCGTATGCTGTTTTGACAATGTTCCTCTTTCATTATGGAAAATTATGCCATTATTCTATAGGTTAAAATAATTCTAAAATCTGTTACCTAAACAGCTTCCTTAAAATATCCTTACAATTTTATGAGCTTTTGTTAACATATATTATGAGATTTTGTCATCTCAGGTAAATGTCCACAAAACATTTGATGAATGTTGCTTTGATAATGTTCCTCCTTTGTTATTGTGCCAATGATTTATAAAAGATAACAACATTTCGACAAAAAATCCTCAAAATGTATCATGCAAAATGTTTGTTAAAAAGTCAATTTAAAGGAATGTTTTATTAAAAACATTTTATCATCTCAGGACTAAATAATATCCTCAAAACATTTTGCGAACGTTAATTTGATTATGTTCTTCCTCTGTTATTATGGTAGGCCTACATTCAATATTTTATGAAAGATCATTCTATAAACTTTTACCTCATCAACATCCTCAAAATGTTACATTTAAAACATTCTAGTTTTGTTAACACGTCACATTACAAGAATGTTTTATAAAAACATTCCATCATCTCAGGCCTCAATGATATCCTCAAAACATTTTTCGAACGTTGATTTGATAACGTTCCTCCTCTGTTATTATGGAACATTGTTTCAGTGTTTTATTGAGAACGTTGTAATATCTGTTATCTCAACAACATTCCCAAAACATCCTTAACATGTTACAGTGTTAATGTTTAAACACGTCACATTACAAACATTTTATTAAAAAAACATTCCATCAACTCAGGCCTCAATGATATCCTCATAACATTTTGCGAACGTTGATTTGATAATGTTCCTCCTCCGTTTTTATGGGACATTGTACCAATGTTTTATTGAGAACATTGTAATATCTGTCATCTCAACAACATTCCGAAAACATCCTCAACATGTTACAGTGAAAATGTTCTAGTTTTGTTAACACGTCACATTACAAGAACATTTTATAAAAACATTCCATCATCTCAGGACGAAATAATATCCTCAAAACATTTTACGAACGTTGATTTGATAATGTTATTCCTATGTTTTTATGGGACATTGTTTCAATGTTTTATAAAAGATCATTCTACAAACCTTTACCTCAACATCCTTAAAATGTTAAATTTAAAACGTTCTAGTTTTGTTAAACACGTCACATTACAAGAACATTTTATAAAAAAAACATTCCATCAACTCAGGCCTCAATGATATCCTCATAACATTTTGCGAAAGTTGATTTGATAATGTTATTCCTATGTTTTTATGGGACATTGTACCAATGTTTTATTGAGAACATTGTAATGTCTGTTATCTCAACAACATTCCGAAAACATCCTCAACATGTTACAGTGAAAATGTTCTAGTTTTGTTAACACGTCACATTACAAGAACATTTTATAAAAAACATTCCATCATCTCAGGACTAAATAATATCCTCAAAACATTTTGCGAACGTTAATTTGATTATGTTCCTCCTCTGTTATTATGGGACATTGTTTCAATGTTTTATAAAAGATCATTCTACAAACCTTTACCTCATCAACATCCTCAAAATGTTAAATTTAAAATGTTCTAGTTTTGTTAAACACGTCACATTACAAGAACATTTTATAAAAAACATTCCATCAACTCAGGCCTCAATGATATCCTCATAACATTTTGCGAAAGTTGATTTGATAATGTTATTCCTATGTTTTTATGGGACATTGTACCAATGTTTTATTGAGAACATTGTAATATCTGTCATCTCAACAACATTCCGAAAACATCCTCAACATGTTACAGTAAAAATTTTCTAGTTTTGTTAACACGTCACATTACAAGAACATTTTATAAAAAAACATTCCGTCATCTCAGGACTAAATAATATCCTCAAAACATTTTGCGAACGTTAACCTGATAATGTTCCTCCTCTGTTATTATGGAACATTGTTTCAATGTTTTATAAGAGATCATTCTACAAACCTGTACCTCATTAACATCCTCAAAATGTTAAATTTAAAACGTTCTAGTTTTCTTAACATGTCGCATTACAAGAATGTTTTATAAAAAACATTCCATCAACTCAGGCCTCAATGATATCCTCATAACATTTTGCGAGCATTGATTTGATAATGTTCCTCCTTTGTTTTCATGGGACATTGTACCAATGTTTTATTGATAACATTCTAATATCTGTCATCTCAACAACATTCCCAAAACATCCTCAACATGTTACAGTGACAATGTTCTAGTTTTGTTAACAAGTCACATTACAAGAACGTTTTATAAAAACATTCCATCATCTCAGGACTAAATAATATCCTCAAAACATTTTGCGAACGTTGATTTGATAATGTTCCTCCTCTGTTATTATGAGATATTGTGCTAATGTTTTATTGAGAACATTGTTTAATCTGTTATCTCAGCAACATTCCCAAAACATCCTCAAAATGTTACAGTGAAAATGTTATATCTTAGTTTACATTTAACCTTATAGGAACATTATTTGAAATGAGAAAACATCCTTAAAACATTCTTAAAACATTGCATTTAAATGTTTTATTTAAAACATTAACCAAACCTCTAGGGAATGTTAGCCAAAGTTCTAAGAACGTTCCCTGTTAGCTGGGGACTCACTTTCAACAACTGTTTTGTTTTTCCACTGGTGATCCACTCGTTTTTATTGTTCTGTTCATTCCAGTTTTTTCATCTGTTTAAATGCATTTTTTACTTTATAAAGTGCAAAGAAATTGTAAATGTGTAAATATCTTACACGGAGAGCCTTGGTACTTCCTATTAGCCCCGTTGTGTATCATATTGGTTGCAGTTCCATTAGAATTCCACTAGAGGTGATCGCGGGCGAGAGCAGAATGAATGGGAGTCTATGGGGCTAAACGGCTAAAAGTGTCTCTTTCACCTGCTTGTCGTTACATTAACATAGATTTTATTGTTGATTGCGCAAGTTCAATATAGATTATAGGCCAAAAGTCGAATGAACGAGTACTTATGTCCTTTTTGATTTCTTACAGGTTAGGCTGTTGTTGGCCGGAACACGCTAGCATTCTGCTATTGTGTGACGTCATCACAGTTTTGAACGGATTTTTAGAACAGATAAGTGAACTTAAAAATGCAATTTTCAGCTGAGTGTATTATCTTAGCCCTCCCTTTTGAATGCAACTTTCAAAAAAAAAATTACAACCTGAGAAAAGTGGATTTATGGGGGTGAAACCCCATTGACTCCCATTCATTCTGCACTCGACCGCGAGCGCCCCCGCATGGACACAGACGTGTTACTGCAGCCAGTGCCAATTCTGTTCAATTAAACATTCTCTGATATGCACCCTTATTTCCACATAATTCTTGTTCCGGAGTTTTTTTCCTCAAAAAGGTCCTCAAGCATGTGTTGGTGTGTGTTTCAGGAGTTTCTGCTGCTGAACGAGATAAAACAAGGAGAAGGTCAGTGAAGGGTGGAGAATGTGTCACTTTAAATCCTGGTGTAAATACAAACACAAGTGAAGTGATGACGTGGTATTTTAAAGACATTCCCATCGCTGAAATCACTGGAGATCAGAGTCAGACCTGTACAGATGATCAGTGTGAAGAGAGATTCAGAGTCAGACTGAAGCTGGATCATCAGACTGGATCTCTGATCATCACAAACACCACAAACACAGACTCTGGACTCTATAAACTACAGATCAACAACAGCAGATTCAGCATCATACGGTCCTTCTGTGTTTGTCACTGCATGGGTGAGTATCATTAGTTATTCTAATTTTAGAATATATCATTGTACAGTAAGTTTTATTTCATAACACGTGCTGTTTAACATGATATGAGTGGCCATTTAAAGGAAACCTGTGTGAACAAAGACTGTTGTGTTTCAGATTCGTCTTCAGTCGCCGGCACTGGGGAGCTTTAGAAGGGCAAGGACTACAGATATTATAGTGAGAGAAAAATATTTATTATGCAGTGTGTGTGAGTGTGATAGAAAGTTTGTTCCACTTTGTGTTAATGCTCAAGGACCAGACCTTGATTTAAAGGAGTAGTTCACTTTAAAAAAAACTTTTGCTGATAATTTACTCACCCCCATGTCATCCAAGATGTCCATGTCTTTCTTTCTTCAGTCGAAAAGAAATTAAGGTTTTTGATGAAAACATTCCAGGATTTTTCTCCATATAATGGACTTCAATGGGGTCCAAACGGTTCAAGGTCCAAAAGACGGTTTCAGTGCAGCTTCAAAAGGGCTTTAAACGATTCTAGGCGATGAATAAGGGTCTTATCAAGCCAAACGAGCGCTCATTTTAAAAATAAATAACAAAGTTTAAGTTTTATTGTTTTGCTTGATGAGACCCTTATTCATCGTCTGGAGTCGTTTTTGCACTGAAAGTGTTTTGAACCGTTTGTTTTGAACCTTGAACCGTTTGGTTCCCATTGAAGTCCATTATATGGAGACAAATCCTGGAATGTTTTCATCAAAAACTTTAGTTTCTTTTCGACTGAAGAAAGATTTACATTTTTTTTTTTTACATACACCACTCGAGCGATCAGCTGGTTCCTAAGCAACAAACAAGCACCACACACACACGCACAGATAGGCAAAATGAACACACGAATGCATGAACCGTGACAATAAGTGCCGTATTATAGACACTCATTATAAACACAAGGTGGCGCTTATGAACTGTAGTTAGGCCTATTTCATTACACTAACCTGCTTATTATCTTGATACATTCGTAGAACAAATGCTGTGTGATATTTAGGAAGATCAACATTTAACACTCAATGACAGCTTAGACCTTTAAGATAAACCGACATGAGTTCTCATGACAGTCAACATCTTTATTTCATTTACAAATGTATTAAATGCACAAATGTGAAGTTTTGCACATATTCTGCCCTACAAAGCAAAAAGGCAGTAACTGCATTTTTGGTCAAACATTTGTTATTATCATTTTCATGACATTCAAGGCATCCTTTGTTTTGTGACAACTTATCTCAAATGTGTGTCGTTTTGTAGAAAAACAATTGAAACACGCATTAAAAAAAACATTCACAAGTTTCAACTTCAACTTCTTGTGATGACTTTGAACTTTTATTGCAGAAATGATCTCCAAGTTTCAGGTATAAGAGTTTTCTGTTTTCTGTTTATTATATTTACAATAATATCTCATCATTTTTTTCTAAATAAGTAAAGTAATTTTACCTCTAATTTTACCTCTAAAAAATCTAAATAATGTGTTCTTTATATATCACTGTTGGTCACTTGTTTGATCTGAGATGTTTGACATATTATTATTTCACTTTAGTAGGCTAATTTTGAATCACAGAGTTATTATGTTATGATGGTCAAACAGCATCAGTGTTTAATGATGGATCCACAGTTCCTCAAACTCACCGCTAGAGGTCATCATCATATCACAGATTACACTGTCAATGGGGTTTCACCCCAGAAATCGATTTTTCTCAGGATTTAATTTTTTGTCAAGTAATTTGAAAGTTGCATTCAAAAGGGAGGGCTAAGATAATACACTCAGCTGAAAATTGCATTTTTAAGTTCACTTATCTGTTCTAAAAATCCGTTCAAAAATGTGATGACGTCACACAATAGCAGAATGCTAGCGTGTTCCGGCCAACAACGGCCTAACCTGTAAGAAATCAAAAGGACATAAGTACTCGTTCATTCGACTTTTGGCCTATAATCTATATTGAACTTGCGCAATCAACAATAAAATCTATGTTAATTTAACGACAAGCAGGTGAAAGAGACACATTTAGCCGTTTAGCCCCATAGACTCCCATTCATTCTGCTCTTGCCCGCGATCACCTCCAGTGGAATTCTAATGGAACTGCAACCAGGATGATACACAACGGGGCTAATAGGAAGTGCCAAGGCTCTCCGTTAGACGGGCTCTGGTAATATTTACTTTGACACGGCTCAGATCAGATATAATACAACTTATACAAAATATATAATCCATAAAAAAAGAGTATTTAATGAGAATAATACGATTAAACAAAGTTCAATTTATAGATAAAGCAAATTATATTTGAATATCATATAAAAAGTGCATTGTATACTTGTGCATCAATTTATTTATTTCATCAAACAGTGATTTATATTTCCATAAAAACTCACACAAACGTAAAACTGAGATATGTCACAATGTTTATGATATCAGTTTCTTGATCTTCTGGATCTGATGTCATAAACCAGAACAGCGACCGTAGCCACGCCCACCAGAGCAGAGAGGACCAATCGGATCACAGTTTCAGTAGAACTGCAGCAGTGAACATGGACTGGATCTCGAGAGAGAGAAAAAAAGCAAGGATACAATAGGATTGTGATTTTCTACAAGCTGGTTTTTTTTTTTCGAAAAAAAAAAAAAGATTCTGTCAATTTGTTGAAAATAAAATCAATGACGATGATGGATACAAATAAAATTAAAACAAGCATTATACAACCAAAAATGCGGGAAATTAATGCAGTAAAAGTACACAGGCTACATCGTTTACAATGTACTCATGTAAAAGTAAAAGCCTACAAAGTAAATTGTTTTATAAAATCTACTTAAATACAGTAACGTGAGTATTTGTAATGTGTTACTTCACTATGTGATATTGATAAGTATACAATACGTGTTATTCAGTTCAGTTCATAGTAATGCGCACATGTAATGTGGAACTGCACCACTAGGGGCTCTAGTGGTAAACTGTTAACTGCGCACACGTGAACATTTTTTTATTATTATTATTGAAAACAACAACAGGTACAAACAAGAAAGACCATCAATATACAATCAAGCATTTGTACAGACAATACCATACCAAAAACAAAGAACAAAAACAAGAAAAGAAAAAACAAAAAAACATACAAACATAGTAAATGAAGAGGAAAAATAATAAGGATATTAAGAGGAATTGGGGAATAGGTCGTAATATTGAGATAAAAGCTTTCTATTCTTCTTGTTCTTTACAAGTTTGTGTGATTTAAGAAACATATTCAGTTCCAAAATAAAATGCTTAAAACATAAGGAAGACTTATTAAATTTCTGCTTGTGTATAAAGAACTTAGCATATAAGATTATAAAATTTAAGACATGAAGTGTGCTGTTTGTGCATTGTGACGGGGCATCAGAGAGTGTATTTTTAGCGTGTGTTAGGCTACGTGCACTTTTCTGAGCGGAGACAGTTTTACACACTTCCTGTCACGTAGGGCCTACAACAAGTCCTTGTACCTTAAAATTAACATTTAAACAGTAAATGTTGCAATGTTACATCAAGGTAATTCTGAACATTATATTCTATGTGTATTTATAGCCTAGCTGTCAATCAACATTAGAGAACCGCCCTCAGGCTGAATTACGCAAATACACTAGACATCTACTAAAGTGTGTTTGCATGTTCAGCAATTACGTAAAAATAGCGTCCAATCATAAACTCGCGCTACGACGCAGAATCTGCCTCACTTTCATTTATGGATAGAGTTTTTACCGTCAAAAAATGTGAAGAATGTAAAAAATTATCTCTACTCACCATTGACAGAAACATTGAATGTTTTTAATGACAGTTCAGATGTGATTATCTTTACTTCATATAATCCAGCATGTTTCCTTGTGATGTTTCTGATGGTCAGAGATCCAGTTTGATCATCCAGCTTCAGTCTGTCTCTGAATCTCCCATCAGGAGCATCATCATATACAGTGAAGATCCCAGAATCTCTGTTTATTTTAGCTATCAGAGACTTTTCTGCTCCAAATTTCCACAGTATGTCGTCGTGTGTGTGTATTTCAGTAACACCAGTGTGTAGAAGCACAGATTCTCCCTCCATCACTGATACTGACTGTATTTCATTTGTTTCAAAAGCAAACACACCTGAAGAACACGAACAAAAACAGATTGAGTCTTCTGTTGGTTTATAAAGCCTGACGTCAGTTTTGTAAAGTTTAAAGGTGAACTGATGCAAAAAAAGTGAAGAGAAATGCAATTTCCATTATTCAGATCTCACAATAAGTTGAATTTGATTAATCTGTGAAAACTGCAATTTTAAAAACATACTAGCTTGTTACTGATATTAAGCCATAAAAATGTTTCATAACTTACAGATCATATGCCACCAACAAAATCTGAACAAAACAAGCATTTGAACCATTTTCTTCGGTTCTTCCGTGAGAAGATCATCTACTGAAAACACTCTCAAGCTCATCATCTGTTGTTTGAATCCTCCCACCACAGAGTTTGACCCTCCTACACACACAAACACTGAACGTATTTATTAGCAACCTATAAATATTCTTCTGACTCTTATTATATGGAACTGAAACCTGCAGAACATCCTGCTTCAGAAATGTTTTTATAATCTGTTGGATGGACAAACATCTTGTGCATGACAGTGACCATTTCTGCATGTCTTTTGTAGGTGATGATCTTCTTCCTGTCCTGCTATTTATGAACATCACAGTCAGACAGTGAAACCAACTACTGAATCATTAAAGCACATTTGGCAAACAGCTAAATTAAAGTCGAGAGTTAAACTCTGAACAGAAATATATCAATGGATGCTTTATCGGATGATACAAACTGCAAAAGTTGTTCTTTTTCCATTTTCTGTTCTTGCATATCTCAAAAACGCTGCTGTTTTGTTTATTAACTGATTAGAAATGTGTCCAAGTGTCCAAAAATGTTTGAATTTAATTGAATTGAATATAGGGCCTTTAGCGTGAGTCCGCGAGGGCGCATTGAGAGGTATTTTTGGGAAGGAGGAAGAAGAAGGTCTGGTTGTTGTTGGACAGGAGCTGTGGGTCGATATGCTGCCGATTGTTGTTGTTGTTGTTTTTACATGCGGAGAAATCATATTTTTGAGCTCAGACGCGATCCTCATGCCTGTGAAAGCTTTATCAGGAGGCTTTCAACAATTGGTCGATCTCCAGTCTGCTCTAGGGGTCAAACGGGTCCTATACAAAGTAATAAGTTATATTGTTCATGAACGTGTTTCCATAATTATACAATCATAAGTGGATACACTAAGCACATAAAACAGTTCAACGTGGAGATAGATGGAAACAAAAACCGAAGTTTTCTACTACCCCCGTTTTCCCCTCACACACACATAAAGTGTGTAATTTACTCAAATGCCTTTCTTTTCATATATTTACAATGACTTACAGATTTATAACTTTATTACCTCTGAAGATATGACTGTAACAAAAGATTTGTGCGGCTGATGCAAACCTCAGTTTCGCCAGAGGGGGCATAGTTCTGCAAAAACTCAGAGACTTGCGCAATGCACCTTTAAATAGAATAGATATCACTTCACCTTTAAAGTCCCCGTGAACCGGAAGTTGCAAACGATTTTTCTCCAGTGCTGTGACGTATTTCCAAGTGAAACGGATTATTGAACAGAGGGCAGGGTTTTACTCTAGCGCTCCTCCTCTCCATCTCTCGCTCATAGTAAACTTACGGTTTGAGGGGAGTGGTTAAGCGTTCCCCCACCCAAACTGTGAAACCTACGTCATCAGAAAAAGAAACCGTTCCAGACCGGAAGTAACTTTTCAGATTTTGATTAAAGATTATTAAGGTAAAACATTTTTTTTAATATATATTCACTTGCACGGATTAATTGTTCACCACAAGACTAGTAATATGCGCTAACAAAGTAAATAGGTTCAATTTTGATTTCACGGGGACTTTAAATAAAATTACCTAATTTCTTATGTCACTTTCACCTGACTTAGTTAAGTATAGTTTACTTAATTCTTTGTGTGAAATTTACTCAAAAAATATCAGTGCAAAAACTCCCCTTAAAAAAATAAGTACATTTTACTCATTGTTTTTTTTTGTTTTTTTTACAGTGGCGCTAATAGAAAGGCGATTAAAACTCGATTATCTTCTCAAAATATTTGAGTAATGTAAAGGTCTTGCATGTTTTTGAGTGTAGCCTATTTTTTCTGGCTTTATATTGTCTGTTGTGTTGTTCTGTTGTTTAAAGCATTATAAAAAAAATTAAAATAAATAAAAAAAGTGTTGTGTATTTGGACGAGAGACGCATTTTTTTAGCACAGGATACACCTGTGCGGAGCCATTACATTAAATTGGTTCACCACCCGGAGGAGGAGCGAACGACGAAGCGTCAATCAATGATGGCTTCCTCACTCACCGGAGAGAAAATGGTGAAAATGTGTTTGTTTTTAGTGCTCGCGGTGTTTGCATCCTTCGCGCACGGTAAGATGTGTATTTTAATTTTAATATTGTTATATATTTTACATTTTGTCTGCACGTCAACAATGAAAACCAATGATGACAAAGTTTATAGACGCGTATTACCTGCTGGACCAGTCTGTGCCAAATGTCAGTTGAAAGGCAAGGGAATTTGTTAGATAAATCCAGTATACTGACTAAAACCTCGAAGCAATATCCCTTATTTGGTGGATAACGGTAAAGTAGCTGCAATTACTTTTCCAGTCCTGTGAGGGGGCGAAAACTTTCCAGAAGTCTTAAAATGAGATATAACCTGTTAATTAAGGATTTTTATCCTTACTGTCTTACAAAAACATCTTCTAGTAAGGAAATCTGTAATCGCTTCATCGAGTAATAATCATCTCTCAGGTCGACGAGTTCAGCAGTTTCTGTGAAATAAAACGCTTGATTAAAATGGAGGAACAATAGACGAGTTTTAAACATAGACTGTAAAAAAACAGGTTTTAAATTAAGTGCTGCAGAAAAATACTATTTTGTAAGCTTGGTGGAAAAGCATATCACTGTATTTCTTTGGCGTTTGTTATCATTTATTAGTGTTTAGTCAGTAAATATGCAATGAACACTACTTGAATCAGGGTGTGTGTTGTATGCGGTGAATCATGTTAAAAGGGACACTATGTTTCTCCCAGAGGGGGTAAAACCAGCATGGCGCAAAATACACATTAGTAGGCCTGCTACTGATACAAATATTTCAGCTAAAATAATATTGATTAAATATTGTATAAGTTATTACTGTATAAAGTTTAATAATATATAATTATATAATAATAATAAATAATTAATAAAATAATATTTTAATAAAAAATAGGATGATTATCTTGAAGGTGGACACCCAGATTAATTTACAATATTTATAATACTTGCATTATTATTCTGCCTTTTTCGCCCCAACAGCAGGAGTGCCTTTCACTCCAAATATCATACTTTTATATAATTCTTCTGTTATTGAAAACCGTTGCTTTGATTACCTTAAAAAAACGCGAAAATCATTAAGATGACATCTGTCTCAAAATATGGTCAATAATTTTACCAATTCTCAATTGCTACTTAAAGGGATAGTTTAATTTTTGATATGTTTTATCTTACCTCAAGGGCATCCGAGATGTAGGTGTCTTTGTTTCCGCAGTAGTTTTCAATTTTGATATTTTTAGGTCAAACCGTTCTTGTCTGTCAGTCATATAATGGAGGTCTATGGTCACCACCTCAAAGAGCATGCACAGAGAAGTCCAAATTAAACATGATTTAATGACTCGTAAATGTAAGTACACATTGATGGCCTAAGACACGAAACGAGCAATTTGTGTGAGAAAACGAACAGTGTTTATATCGTTTTTACCTATCGTTCAAACCACAAGAGGTAAAAACCATATAAATACTGTTCGTTTTCTCACACAAACCGCTCGTTTCGTGTCTTCGGCCATCAATGTGTAGCCTACTTACATTTACGAGTCATTAAATCATGTTTAATTTTGACTGTGCGTGCTCTTTGAGGTGGTGACCATAGACCTGCATTATATGACTGACAGACACGAACTGTTTCAAATATTTGGCTAAATCCCCTCAATCTGCCAGACTTTGCCGACTGCATCTTAAAATCGACTTAAAAACCATGAAATATTAGATCAAATAAGCGCAGAATAGCTGCGTTTCTGCCCGTGATCGCGTCAAGGATAAGACAAATTCCCTCACGCTACTTGAAAAGCGTTTATGCCATCTATTGTTTTAGAGAAAATACAAATCAAAGGGCCCTTTTACCCCAGTGCGCCTTTAGCACTGTACCCTACACACATGTGTTTGTCCTGAAGAGTGAATCAAGTGTAAATACACTATGATTGCAGACATATTTCTTTACTCACAATGTAATCAGAAACATTTCTAGTCCTACTCTCAACAATACATTTCTAATTAACTTGTTTATCTCTTCTTCAGGTGCATCTGATGTTGACTTTGATGTGCTAGTGATGGAGGGAGATTCAGTCACTCTATACACTGACGTTGAAATAAACCAACAACTCATAATTACATGGTATTTTAATGAAATTCTCATTGCTCAAATCAATGGAGATCTCCGTTATATCTGTACAGTTGTTGAGTGTAATGAGAGATTCAGAGGCAGACTGAAGCTGGATCATCACACTGGATCTCTGACTATCATGAACACCAAACTTGAAGACTCTGGAGATTTTCAGCTATCCATAAACAGCCAGGAGAGTGACACATACTTCTATGTGTTTTTTTATGGTGAGTCATTTACGAATGTTTCAATTCAGGTTACACCCATTTAATTCGCTGATGTGTTTATTATGACCCTGCCCTTCAGAGTTGCCTTTTCTAATTAAAAGTACCTACACACACACACACAAAAATTATTTTAAAATGATTTGTCTGTCTATTTGTGAGCCATTAGAATTATTTTTGTTCTGGTCATTTTCTCATCGTAGCATTCCTGACCACCTTTTCTTATCATGTTTATTTCATATTCAGTGTATATTAGATTCAAAGTGATGGGGATTTGATTTAAATAAGTGCATACATTGTGTTTACTAGCACAAAATATGGATTGTTTTCAGACTGAAAGTCAAGAAAATGTCAAATAATTTGTGTCATATTGTAAACATGATGCTGTCATTTATTTATCCAACAATTCCAGTTGAAATTTCTAATATAATAAAAAAGTATTTAATATTGTTTAATGTTATTTCAACAGATTTTCCTCAAGATCTAGGAAATTAATATAGTTTCTTCCTCAAAAAGGTCCTCTAGCATGTGTTGGTGTGTGTTTCAGGAGTTTCTGCTGTTGAAAGATATAAAATGAGGAGAAAGGCGGTGAATGAGGGAGAATCTGTCACTTTAGATCCTGGTGAAGTAATAACGGATGATGTGATGATGACGTGGTATTTTAATGATAATCCTATCGCTGGAATCACTGGAAATCAGAGTAAGATCTGTACAGATGTTCAGTGTAATAATAAAACTGGGAGATTCAGAGACAGACTGAAGCTGGACAATCAAACTGGATCTCTGAACATCACAAACACCACACACACAGACTCTGGAGAATATACACTACAGATCAACAACAGCAGATTCAGCATTTTTAACATCTTCAGTGTTTCTGTCACTGGTGAGTAATGTGGGCATTTGGAAGGATAACACTGAATCAACACAACTGATGAGATTCACATGAACTCTCTCAGACCTTCTGATATGTGTGTTTGTTATAGATCAATCTGACAGATTCACTGACGGTCTGTCAGCTGATCCAGGTTCAGGTGTGTCTGCTGGTGGTGAATCAGGAACAGCTGTTTCTGTTCTGGTATTTGCTGTGGCTACTGGTATTGGTTTGATGTACTGTCGCCTCAGGATCCCCAAGAAAGGGCAAGTACCTTCAGATAGCCTGGCTAACGCCAGATGACGTATTGTTAAGAATGAGACATGGTCTGGGAACCACATGTTAATTTTCTCGTATTTGAGGCTTGTTTACGAATGCCCAGAGCCGTTTATTGGGTGCTATGAGTGTCTATCAAATGCGCCTCAAAGCCAATTGGGCCAATGATACCAGATGACTTATCTCGTTTGCGCTTCTACTTCACGTTAATTTAAAAAATGTTCACTAAAGTGTCAACAATTTTTATCTGGTACGTGTGCACACAGCTGCATGTTATTCTACTAAAGTGGTAGCAGTAAATTGATATTGAAAAGCAACACAAATAAGTGGCACTATGACAAGCTCAATAGATGGACAATGCGCGAGAGAGACCGAGTGTGTCCGAGAGCGCACTCGACAATGCGCGAGAGAGACCGAGTGTGTTCGAGAGCACGCTCGACAATGTGCGAAAGAGACAGAGTGTGTCCGAGAGCGCGCTCGACAATGCGCGAGAGAGACCGAGTGTGTCCGAGAGCGCGCTCGACAATGCGCGAGAGAGACCGAGTGTGTCCGAGAGCGCGCTCGACAATGCGCGAGAGAGACCGAGTGTGTCCGAGAGCGCGCTCGACAATGCGCGAGAGAGACCGAGTGTGTCCGAGAGCGCGCTCGACAATGCGCGAGAGAGACCGAGTGTGTCCGAGAGCGCGCTCGACAATGCGCGAGAGAGACCGAGTGTGTCCGAGAGCTCGCTCGACAATGCGCGAGAGAGACCGAGTGTGTCCGAGAGCGCGCTCGACAATGCGCGAGAGACCGAGTGTGTCCGAGAGCGCGCTCGACAATGCGCGAGAGAGACCGAGTGTGTCCGAGAGCGCGCTCGACAATGCGCGAGAGAGACCGAGTGTGTTCGAGAGCGCGCTCGACAATGCGCGAGAGAGACCGAGTGTGTCCGAGAGCGCGCTCGACAATGCGCGAGAGACCGAGTGTGTCCGAGAGCGCGCTCGACAATGCGCGAGAAAGACCGAGTGTGTCCGAGAGCTCGCTCGACAATGCGCGAGAGACCGAGTGTGTCCGAGAGCGCGCTCGACAATGCGCGAGAGACCGAGTGTGTCCGAGAGCGCGCTCGACAATGCGCGAGAGACCGAGTGTGTCCGAGAGCGCGCTCGACAATGCGCGAGAGACAGAGTGTGTCCGAGAGCGCGCTCTGCAATGCGCGAAAGACAATGCGCGAAACTCGTTATTTGATAATTAAATGATCCATTTCATCAAAACAGTTTACAATCCTACTAGCCCTTTATTTAGATTAAAACCCTTTCTCATTCATTTGGGAAGGAATATGTAGTTTTGAGCAGCATTTGCAGACCTAACGGTTAATTTAAACGACGATCGATCATGGGAATTTGTGAAAATTGACATCCCTAGCCTACTTATAACTTACACTGTGTGTCTCCATCTTCTGTGATTCATTGTTTCCTTACAGAGCAATAAAACGGATGTCGTGTGGTCTGAGCGGACGCCAGCGCATCAGGGTTAATATACCTCAACCATTTTCATTGGGAAAACCTCTAATGGGAAAGTGAGCTTGTGTTTTTGAGCTGTAAAACAATTCTTAAAGTGTAGGTTTACAGTCCAATGCTTTTTTCCATTATGAAATGAATAGGGAGTCATAGGTTAGCATCTATTCTGGTTTTTCTGTTATGGGTAATGACTTTATGCATGTTTGAGCTGTTTTAACTGAACTAAGGTCTAATCTAAGCCCTGTTTTTGAAACTGGCTGATTTAACAATTATTTTTTTTATTTTTAACAATTATTATCAAGCATTTAGTTTAAATGAATATAAATATATACAGATAATGAGATATAAATAAGATTTGACATCTTACCTATATTATAAACTATTTAAACTTGACAACTTTCCCTCGCACAGTTATTGCAAGATAGTTTCTTATTGCTGTTTAAATGCACTTATGTACTTTATATTCTTTGATCTTGGGCAGAAGAGAGAGTTTAATCACATTTTCTGTAAGTTTCGAGGCATGTGATTGGCAGCTGGCTGGCATCATTGTACGAGTCTCTATAGGCTGGAGTTTAATGTGTTGTGCTAATTTATTTTTATTTATCTGTTCTCATGTTGGCTGTGTGAGATGATATTAAGGTTAGTACTAATACATTTATTATTCTCTGTGGTGATGAAGAGTTTACAGCACTGGTTTACAGCACTTTATAATGTTAAAATGTGATGTTGAATCCGTATCAGTATCAGTGTGTGTTTTTATATAAGCTCAGGGTCATGAGTGTGGATTTATTCCTCTGTTCCAGTGATTTTCTGTGACTCGAAGAAAGGATATTGTCTTTTTTATCTTATAATTTGTAAACACACTCACCTGTTAGACTTATGATAATTACATGAGAACCAAAGATATTCTCCACATTTGTGTGAAGAACCAAACATTGTTAATGTAGCCTATCAGAACGTGTAGAAATGACTCAACTGATCATCCATGTGCCTGTAAGAGCTGTTTTTATCTGTGTTTTCCGGTATTTTGAGGATGGATAATTGTTACTATTTTCTACTGTCTTTAAGTGTTGAGATCTGTTCAGGAAAAGAAATGAACTTCAGATTTGACTTTGGTCTTAATTGAGCGAATCGTCGTTCTTTATGGTCAAACTGGGTTCCCCTACAAATAAATGCTTTGCATGTCTCAATGATTTTATGGAAAGTTATGGAATATTAAATCATCTGTTACTGAAACCACACAGAATAGTAATGTGATCATCCAAACATCCCAAATTATTCGATTTAATTTTTTGATAGTTTAAGTAAGGCCATTCACATATAATCTACTTGCTAGAATGCGATTAATCCTCTGTGATAAGGAAGGAAACACTCGATTCATAAAACAAACCGGAGCTCTCTCGTTATTGGTTTCTGTTGAAGCGACTTAAACATCACTAACAAAATGTTTTTACTTTACAAATACATATTGATGGGTTTTTTTATGTCAATCATCATAGATTACATAAAATGCATTCCCTTATAAAAGACAGTAGCTTTATGTAAGGCTATTTTCCCCTACATTCGTGTGCAAGTCTCTTCAAAACAATGTTTTATCACAATCGATTTTTTTTTTGGAGCTTGGACCAATCAGCTCTGAGCAAAGTGTCACATGTCTGATGCGATAAAGTCACTCCATCTGTTTCTACGCCAAATTAAAGATCATTATATTGAAAATGCGTTTTAAAGACAAAGTAGTCTTGCTTTTAGTAACATTTAAGACCGCAAGATAAAAGACAGCGCTAAAAAGGGGCAGGGCTACATAACGTTTAAGGCGGGGCTACTTTTCTTTTAGTTGTCCTCGTTCATAGACAGCTATTTTCTTCTTGCTGTGTAAATTTGTTTAAATTCTTAATATTTATATTAACCTCGTAATATTCTGCAGAAGAGAGAAGCGAGTTGTGCTGCTGCTTTAAGTCTTGTTCACACTACATGATTTTAAAACGTTGGGCTGAACTGTGCGGTTCACACTACATGACTTGCTCTCAGTGAAATCAAGTTGTTGAGCCGTTCACACCACACGACACAACGTGATTGATCCGCAACAGGAGGTAACGCACTACACGAGCAACGCGTTCTCACCCCAAAGCGCCATATACAACACTTTTGCAAAAGCGTAAATATCCAACGCACATGGCACCCTTTAACGTCTAATGAGACTCATCGGTTATGGTTAAGTTTAGGTAGGCTGTAGGGTAAGGGTTAGACCACTAGGGGGCGCCTTCTGCCCAAATATGTCTGCGTCTCATTTGACGTTAAAGGGTGCCATGTGCGTTGGATATTTACGCTTTTGCAAAAGCGTCGAATATGGCGCTTTGGGATGAGAACGGGCTCACACGAGTTAACGACAACTCTGTCACCCAACGACTCTTGTCTACAAACCACGTTTTGTCACAAAAAAATCATTTTTTATCATTTTGATTTTTAATCAAATTTTATTTAATAACATTCCAAATGTGTGTTTAATTATTAATCATTTTTCCTTAATACAGACATGTTTTTTTTATATATTGTTTAAATAAAAATGACGTCACATGACAAATATCGCATACATATACACATAAAACATGATATCAGAGTTTTAAAATTAAAGAACAATACATCACGGTTGTTTAAACCAATGAGCATTGAGCTGTGTCGTCAGCAAGTTGTTTCCCATAATGCAGTTGAGCAGTGCAGTCGGCGATTTTCATTTAAATCCTTCCATATATCTTCTCAACTTTGCAGAATAAATATTTCACAATATTTATGATGGGTCTATCAGTTTCTTATCTCCTCTTGTAGATCTGATATCAGAAAGCAGAAAAGTAACTGTAGCCACGCCCACCACAGCAGCGAGAGCCAATCGGATCACAGCTTCAGTAGAACCACAACAGAGGTCGTGGACTTCTAAATAAAAAAAAAAATGATAAAATAGGATTTTCAAAATGAAAATGATCATAATTTTGCCAACATCCGTGGATAATATCAGCGCTGCTGTACCTGCGCATGTGTGTCTGCAGAGTGTGTTGATGTCCAGATGTGTGGTCTGGTTGCTGATGGGATTGTTCAGCACACAGCTGTAGGTGTTTTTATCCTGATATTCCACCTCCAGAGGTAGAGAGAGACTGATGCTGAGATCACACACACTGATGCTGGACAATACACTCATTCCTGCGTACCAGGACAGAGTCGCATCACACACACTCAACACTGATGATGAACACACCACTGAACAATTTGATGAAGATGATGATGAACAGTTTCTACTGATGACAGGAACAGGCAGACGAGCTGGAAAACATGAGAGAATGAAGATGCATATTAATATTATATTGACTAGTGTGTGTGATCTGAAAGCATTATTTGGTTTTGAGCACAGATACAATGGTTTGATGTCACCAGAAGAGTCAGATGTTCTCTGTTGTAGTCTGAAGATTTGGTTTTGTGTTTAAGATTTTGAGTTGGTTTCAAGAAATGTGTTTTAGCAATTCAGAAAAACTGGAAATCAACGGACTGTCATTCCTTACATGACATCCATACTCACTATAGACTGAAACATTGAATGTTTTTGATGACAGTGACATTCCCCTTATTTCTACTTGATAAACTCCTTCATGTTCAGTTGTGGGGTTTGTGATGGTCAGAGATCCAGTTTGAGCGTCCAGCTTCAGTTTGTCTCTGAATCTCCCATCAAGAACATTATCAGATGTGGAGAAGACTTCATCAGATCGGCTGATTTCAGCTATCAGAGAGTTGTTAGCTCCAAATGTCCACAGTATGTCGTCGTCTTCCTGTATTTCAGTGAGATCAGTGTTTAGAGTAACAGAATCTCCCTCCATCACTGACACTGACTCACCAAACACACCTGATGGATGTACAGGGACAGATTTTACACAGATTTGCAACATTTAATTGTGAAGAACATCCAGGAAATGGATTTCCGTGACTTTAGTTGTCCATGATTACAGCAAATTATTGCTTCTTTCTTAATTTAAAAAATAAAAAGCTGTTTACAAATCACTTCAGATGATTTTCATTTCATGTTTAAAATTAAGATGTTCAAAACGGCAACAAAAAAAAAAAATCACTTTAGTCATTTCCATTATTTTCCACGACTGTGGGATTAAATGCACTTAAATATCAAACACACAGACCTGAATCTGAAATAGCACTCCAATGACATTATATTTTCTTTGAAGAACTGAAAGTGAAAGTCATCATAATCCATTATGACACTGAGCCATAAAAATATATTTAACTTACCAGTCAGATGGCACCAGCACAAACAGAACAAAACACACACGGGGAACATTTTCTTCAGCGGTTTACTGAAAGGTCCGATCTATGAAGACTCTCTGCTGAAAAATAATCAAACAGATTTCAGCGGAACTGTGTGTGAATCCTCCCACTACTGTTTGAAGACCCTCCTAGTTCTCTTTTACACACACACACACGCACACACACACACACAATGTCTTATAAACAATTATATATGTTTTACTGGGTCTTATTGAAACTTGAATTGTCTCTATGGTAGAAAATATTATCAATTTTGATTGTTAACATTCATGGTAAAACAGAGATGTTTGCTTAAGTAAATAGCTGTAATAATTCAATTCTCAGTTGTGAATGGCAAAACAAACAAACAAAGAGTTAAAGCCGTCTCTCCTCTCGCATCTCTCTGTCTGAGGTGTGACTCTCAGCTTATCTGAGTCAGACTGAAACCTGTGGTCGCTCTTCTCCAGAAACATGTCTCTCGGTGGATAAAGAGTTTGTGGGTGTGCGTGTGGCCAGTTGTTGTGTGTATCAGAGGATGAGCTTCTTCCTGCCCTGCTATAATGAACCTCACAGTCAGAGTTCTCATATAGATCAACCTGATTTGTAGAATAATACGAATCACTCTATCAAAACTGATATTTAACGATACAGTCAAAGAAGAGTCAGAAGGCCAACTGGACCCATCAAGAATCATTGATAATGCACGGATTGGTCATGTGTAAACTATAGCATTTGCAACACAAAAATGACTATTTACTCTTCAATAGGCACATTAAACCATGATGAGAAACAAGAAAACATGGTTTGACTGACATAACGTGTTTCATGTCATGTGATCTGCTATGTGCTGTTTTGTGCCAAGTAGTCATTGGTTAATTCTCCATCATGTTCACAGGTGTGTGTTGTTTAGTCATTAGTAGGCTAGTCGATTTAAGCCCTTTTCGTGTGTTTTTGTATCGTTTTGTGTAACCATTGTTGGTAAGTGCCATGTTCATGTTTTTGTTTTTCAATCGAGTTTCATGCTATTATTTTGCTTGCCGTTTGATCTTGTTTTTGATTAATATTAAACTGCACTTGGGTTTAGTGGTGGGCAGATCAGGCTTTGTGAAACAATCCGACACCCTTCTCAACGGTGACGCCTAGTGGTCACATGCAGGTATTGATCTAAAACAACCTTCACAACTATTTTATTTATTTATTTATTTATAATAGGCTACGTGACGCTTGTAACCTGTAGGCTCCTCACTGTGCATAATGTGCATCATGGATGATATATTGTCGCAGAAGGCAAGCTGTCGATCACAATATCTCACTTTAGGGGTTTCCAAATGGAAATGCTCCCACACCACAGATGTACTTCTCTCTTTTGTGGAACATCCATTTCTATCTATGTGTCTATGTATCCATCAAATAATCTATCTGTCTACTGGCCTATCAGTCAATGTGTAATTTTTTTTTAAAATCCTCACAAAAAACTCACGAGGTTAAGATGTGTTGACTTCACTTTTGTACAGATGTGCGATTGTGTGTTCTGTTCCCGACCCTGTCGATCAAACGCTGATTCGGCGGACCATGCCGTCTGTCAAAACACTTCGACGCTTCATTTAGCCGTAGTCACGTGACATGGGTGTTTTGAATCACGCTTTGAGTCAAATTTCTCGAAACTCAAGTGTTTCGAAACATCTGTGTTTCGGGATCCCAGTAGCACCTCATTGCAGTAGGCTACACGAGATCCAGGGGGTGGAGTTGGATCCAGATCTAAGGGGCGGAGATGGGTAGGATTAGGGGTGGTGTTAGGGATCAGGGGGCGGAGATGGGTAGGATTTTGTAAAGCAGCTCATTTGCATTTAAAGGGACACGTACAAAATCGTGTTTTTGCTCACCCTCAAAAAGTAACAATTTTAACATGCTATATAAAAATATCTGTGGGGTATTTTGAGCTAAAACTTAACATACACACTCTGGGGACATCATAGACTTGCATCTTGTGAAAATGAAGCGTAGCGCCATTCATTAGTTATACACTTTACACGCATAGAAAATGTTTTATTTTGTGTCACCATTCTTGGTTGAGTTGCACTACTCGTGTAACTGTATTTAAATAGGGAAACCGTGGAGGTGTTTGGTCGCTTCTCTGCTTGGATCCTATTGAATGAACTGGGCTAAGCTAAGTGCTATCAAAGTGTCTCGCGTGCCAATGCGATTGAGTGCAAGAGACGACAGATGTATCTATCAACTCGTCTTAGTTAAGGGAATAACATAGTTTAATATGAAAAAACGGTGGCGTATCCCTTTAAAAGCAATAGAAATGTTTATTTTTATTGTGTTGGCCAATTTTTTTCTCTTTTCTTTTTCTGTATATTTTCAAATATAAAATATAAACATTTTTTTTTCTTTAAAAAAGAACTGCAAAGTCAAAAAGTTTGTTTGGCCTTGGATTGTGCCACCTGTTACATGCACGCCCTCTAGTGTCACAAACAAAAATCAATATAATGGCTCCAACATTAAGGATATGCAATCCCTTTCTTTTACTGTCTATATATGTAACGGAGGCTACACTCTAAAAAATGCTGTGTTGTTTTAACCCAATTTTGGGTCAAATATGGACAAACCCGAAATGTTGGGTTAAAAATGTAATGTAAAAATTTAACCCAACGGCTGGGTTAGTCCATATTTGACCCAAAGTTGGGTTAAAACAACCCAGCATTTTTTAGAGTGTAGCTAGTAGTTGCTGTGCGAGTAAACCTCACTCCCCTGATCTCAATAGGCACTCTAGCGACAGATGCTAGAGGCTGCAGTCTTTGGCCTCCTTGTTAGAGCGCCTGACTCTCATGCCAGAGACCCGGGTTCGAGGCGTCGAGTTGGACCCTGGTGGAGGGGTTACAGATAAGCAATCACCCTGATGCCTTTTTGCTACACATATTTAGACAATGTATTGCATATAATGCATTGCTTACAGTGTTCTTTATTTATTTTTGTTTCTAGTAAATGCCTTATGGACAGACATGTAGGTTACCGTAATTTTTAGTTATGCATGTGATGTGTGTGTGCCTGCAGCCTACCCATGAGAAGGAGCAGATGAAAAATAGGATCAAAAGATCCAACCACAGGAATCACAGGAATAGGAGTGTATATTCCATTATACCATGGTCTGGGTGAATACTCGATTCTGATTGGCTGCAGGGTGTCCGTTAAAAAGTGATAGAGGACACCTAGGAAAGTAGTTCTGGTGAAACTGCCTGTTTACCATTCGAAATAAATAAATAAATGCCCTGCCCACAACAGCTGTGAGTAACCATAGCAACAGGCAGTCAAAGTATCCGTTAACAATTTGCTCTATCAAAACAAACATTTAACGTTAGTTGGATTTTAATACAACAAAGAGCGACTTCGTTTTTTTTTGGAGAATTTATTGGAACATTTATGGAGAATATGACAACTTTGACGATTGGGATGCTGCTGAAGAAAGAAAAAATGTAAATAAAACGGAGAAACGTCGCAAAGAAAATTACACGGCTGCTGCTCTGAATGAGACCCTGCGGGAGTTTTACGCAGCTGTCCAGACAACCAAGGCAGGAGGAGAGTACAGCGTTTCAAGCCTAGAAGCCTGTTTGATTAATTGTTTTATGTGTAATTAAAAAAAAAAAAAACTATGCCTACCTTTGCTTCATGAAAAAAAAAGCATTTTTGAACCTGAAGGGTTCTACATCTGAGCGGACTAGGCTATATCTCCGGTTGCTAAATAAACCAGGCGAGTTATTATTTGTAAAAACTTGATTTAGCCTAATTAAAATATAAACTAGCAGCTAATGTTTTAAAAAATGTTTTATTTGGCAAGTGACCATGGTATAAGCGGGTTAATGCCCTTCGAGGTGTCCATTGTCAGGTTGTCGGCCGGTTCACGCCTCGCAGTCGTCCATTAAAACCAGACAATGGACACCTCGTCGGGCATTAACCCTTACGTGTTAAGCGTAAAAATGTCAAAAAGATTAACAGCTAATTTATCTATACAAATTAGCTGTTGATAACTGCCACCAAAATTTGGTTAACATGGCTTTGGAAATAAGCCCAATATGTTCTGATTCTTCGGAAGAATAAATAGCCTATCATTACTCGAAGATCTGATTAATAAAAATATGCATGCTCTTGTATCATATTCAAAGGAAGAAAGCGGTCAGTGGATGTTGGCCAGCACGTATAATGGAAGTTAAGCTGTATATTTGTATGCACAATAAAAATGTAGGTTGTGTGGCAGAGACAGGATGGAGGAAGTTATAATAACTAGACCAAGGCTTGTTCATTGAACTCTTCGTTGGCTTTAATAGGAATCAATGGAAATGATTTATGAAAAGGCCTACATTTAAGTGTAACTGCGTGTAGCCTATAAACTAAGCTATCAGGCTCTGCTATATGTTACACTACCTAATACAGACATTAACGGTCATCATACATAGTTAAAACAGTTTTATCATAACATGTTTTTTTGTAGGAATTGCAATCAGGCGCTAATGTGAGTCGCCTACTGAGATTTGAGGGAGGATCCGGAAATGATCGATATCAGAGAAGAGAATTTTTTTTTTTTTTTTTTTTTTTTTTTTTTATCAGAGAAGAGAATTGGCACTGGCTGGTTACGTCCGGGTTCTGGACTGACTGCAGTAACACGTCTCTGTCCATGCGGGGGCGCTCGCGGTCGAGTGCATAATGAATGGGAGTCAATGGGGTTTCACCCCCATAAATCCACTTTTCTCAGGATGTAATTTTTTGTCAAGTAATTTGAAAGTTGCATTCAAAAGGGAGGGCCAAGATAATACACTCAGATGAAAATTGCATTTTTAAGTTCACTTATCCGTTCTAAAAATCCGTTCAAAAATGTGATGGCGTCACACAATAGCAGAATGCTAGCGTGTTCCAGCCAACAACGGCCTAACCTGTAAGAAATCAAAAGGACATAAGTACTCGTTCATTCGACTTTTGGCCTATAATCTATATTGAACTTGCGGAATCAACAATAAAATCTATGTTAATTTAACGACAAGCAGGTGAAAGAGACACTTTTAGCCGTTTAGCCCCATAGACTCCCATTCATTCTGCACTCGCCCGCGATCACCTCCAGTGGAATTCTAATGGAACTGCAACCAATATGATACACAACGGGGCTAAAAAGAAGTGCCAAGGCTCTCCGAGACGCGATGTCCCAATCGGCTCCTCATAGAGGGTTGGGTCGTTGGTTCTTGGTTGCAGACATGCGGATGATACAAAAGTTTATTATTAGTTTGTTGGTTGTGTTTGTATTCCTCGTTCATGGTAAGGCACTTACTTGTTTCAATACATATTCCTGTCAACGATAAGTACAAAATACTAAATAGTTTTAGATGTATTTAACGTTACCTGCCGGTGAAAATGCTACCGTAGCGCGAATTGATCACAGAATGGCGATTAAAGTCGTATGAAATACAATTATAATACAATTCTAAGTTACGAGTTGCTACTGTATACTGTAGACTACTGTTTTTATTTTTAAAACGGTGTGAAAAGTAAAAATTATCATAAAATAGGCCTATTCATCTTGTCAAAGTACACCTTTCCTCATAGTAACTGAAACTTGCAGTTATTCTTTTTCAGCTGGCTGACCGTACAAATATTCGTGTAATATATGGTAGTAAGCATTTTTTAAAGGGAAATTATACATTACAACAGGAAAATGTACCTTTTGTTAAAAAAACAAAACAAAAAAATGTGAGTCTGCACATGCGCATAACCGGTAAGTAGCAAATCTCGATGGGTAGCATGAATCGTCAGAACACCTTTTTGCTGCATGAAACTTGAAATGCGAAAAGCTGTAAAATAGCTGCACACTAGGGTGAACCTTTTTACAGTCTATGGGGTGAACAAACGTCCTCTTCTCCCCGGGTTTTGGCTTAGTTTCCCTATTGTTTTCATACTCTCTGAAGCTGTAAACTGATGCATTACTCATCAAAAAAGTAATGTGAAGGTAGAGTAAAGGGAACTCGTCCAAAAATGTTGTCAAGTAGAGAGTAAAAGTTTCTAATATCACTGATCAAGTAGCCAAAAATATACTTTAGCAACTAATTACATTTACTAATACTTTACACCACTGCTTTTACCTTGAACAAGAATTATATTGTTTGTTTGATGCTAATTATACATTTAAGAGAAGGATTGAACTAAACAAAGATAATGTGGCTGTAGTTTATTTTTTATTTATAGCCATTTCCCCCACCCCACATTAGTTATAAGGTGAGATGTATTTCTAAACTTATGCATGATATATTGTAGAAAACATCCCATTGCAAAAAGAAAAAAAATGCAGCCTCATCAACAGGGCAAACATATGCCAAAGTGTGTACCTGTCTTCATCTTTTTCTCAGTGGTGGGAGTACCTGTATAAAAACCCATCACAGTCTGATAAACAAAGCTTAGACATGTCCGGACATGTCTGGGGAAAGGGAGAACGTATGGTCACCCTATATACTCATTGGCAAGTGCTAAAAATGCATTCAACACTGGAAATAAAAGGAATAAAGTTTTATTTCAATGAGTCGTAAGGGTACCAACAAACTTGAGTGTTTATAAGCAGTATTTTGAATACAAACTTGAAATAGTGGTATTTAAGTCATAGTTTTGTGGGAAATTGTAATAAGGCATTTTTCAATGGCTTTCTATGGATTATATTCATCAGGGCTCTGAGGTCTGTAAAAATATGCAATAATCACTTGTATAATGCATATGTGAAATAAACATAATCAGACTGTAAAGGGTCTATTACGTTATACAAAACATCCACGAGACATGGATGTAAATAAGTGATGTTCTTCTGCTGTTTTAATTTTTTTAATATAGACATATTTCTCCATCCACACACACAAAAAAATGTTGTCTTTCAATCTTAAAAGAGATTTGATTAATTGTTCATTTCATCTCCAGGTGTGTCTAATGGCACAGATGAAGTGTCATTGATGGAGGGAGATTCAGTCACTTTATACTCTAATGTTAAAATAAATCAAGGAGTCGGAATTAAATGGTATTATTATGACGATTTCATCGCTAGAATCAGTGGAGACCCGAATAAGACCTGTACAGATGTTCAGTGTAATGAAGGCACTGAGAGATTCAAAGACAGACTGAAGCTGGACAATCAAACTGGATCTCTGACCATCACAAACACCACAACTGAACACACTGGAGTTTACCATCTAAAGATAAGGAGCAGCAGCACTGGAAAAATCTTCAAAGTTACTGTTCATGGTGAGTCATTAATGATTGTTTAAAAGCAGGTCATATGTTTTAAAAGTCCATCAATCTTGAATTTAATTTTAAAAATCATTCCAGCCATAAGGTTTTATTTTCGATTATTGACTCTGTTCTAAATCCTCCAGTCAATGCAATGTCTGTTGCTTCTGATGTTTAATGTGCAGGCTTTTTGACTTCTTGATATATATATATATATATATATATAACAAAATCTAATTTAACACCCAAATGTCAGCTCTTCTCATATTGAACCTCCATCCCTTGGCTGGATCCTGCCTTCTGGGATCTTAAAGACACCTTCGCTATTCTTAAACCCTCTTTTTGTACTTATGACATTATACACCCTAGATTTTATTTTTCAAATAATTGTTTTACTCTATTGGGCCGGGGTTTGGTGTCTTTTCTTAATAAGTGTCTTTCTACCTGCTCTGTTCCTGATGATCTTAAAGTGTGCTCCCTTGCACAAGAAGCCTTCACTGGATCTCTCTGTGTTGAGCAATTTTCACCCAATCCTTTAAAAAGGTTTTGGATTGTGAAATTGGGTTGGAAAATCGTGCTTGAGTCACTTCAATCCCTTCTAAATTGTAATGGTATCTTTTGAGATTTTCCAGTCTGGTTTTAAATCTGCTCATAGTACAGAATCGGCCCTCTTGAGAGTGCTAAATTATTATTATTTTACTACTGACTCTGGGGACTCTTTGGTCCTTGGCATCATTTGATACTGTTGACCACTCCACACTTGTTTCTAGGTTAATCATGTGTTGGGATAAAAGGTGGTTTCAGGTGATTTATTAAACAGAAAGTTTTTGTTTTTGAAAGATTTCTCCTCTTCTGTCGCTTGTCTCCTGCGGTGTCCCACAAGGCTTGATCCTGCACCCTCTCTTTTCTCCCTGTACATGCTATCCTTGGGGTGTATTTTAAGAAGACTTGTTGTTTCCTTCCATTTTAATGCTGGCGACACCCAAATATATATACCTGTCAAGAGATAAGATCCGTCCGAGTTAAGTTCTCTTTTATTATACTTAGACGAGGTTAAATGTGTTCTTGCTAAAAAAAAATTGTCTTTAAATGAAGAGAAAACCGAGGTGATAGTTTTCGGGCCCATTGATCATTTTAAGACCACCCGCTTGATTTGAGGAGCTTATCTGCATTCAGATCTACGCATGTGCAGAGTTTGGGTGTGCTTTTAGATGAGCGTTTAAAACTTGACCAATAAATATCTTCGATAATTGGATCAAGTTTTTATCAACTCGATATTTTGTCTAAAATTAAACGCTTCCTAACTAAAACAACACTAGAGATGGGTGTTCATGCTTTTATTACTTCGCGTTAAGACTTCTGCAAATCATTGTATTCTGGTATTTCTAAGTCACAAATCACTCCTTCAACTGGTCCAAAATGCTGCTGCAAAATGTATTAAATTTATCCTACGCACGCAAACTTCGTGGACCAAGTGTTTTCTGTGATTGGGCAACGGTTATTTTTCTCTAGTGCGTTCAGTGTACCATAACTTTGTCTTATTTTTTTTTGTCTTGCCTTGTTTAGTCTTTCTTACTTTACTGTACAGCACTTTGGCCAACCAAGGTTGATTTTAAATGTGCTCGATGAATAAAATTGATTTGATTTAATGCAACTTAGCCTTCCCTGACAATTTTATAGATTTTTTTTTTCTTAAACGTGTATATTTAATTATGTTTGTGTGTATATTCAATTATGTTTGTGTGTATTATTCTAAGTGTGTATATTTAGGATTTGCATCTAAATGTTTTGTTCAGCATATTGGTTAACTATTTTTAAATACACTTTATAAAATTAATTTACCTTGAAACTTAATATATTCAACAGTAAATCAGAAGTAAAACTCTTTGTTTAGTTCCCTGGGTTCCAAAATGCTTAGAATTAGATCTAAAATAAAATAAGTTTATAAAATCTATAAAGTTTATAAAATAAAACCTAAAATTTGCCTATGTTGGTGTGTGTTTCAGATGTTTCTGCTGAACAAGATCAAACGAAGAGAAAAACTGTGAAGGAAGGAGATCCTGTTACTTTAGAGACTCCTGTAGAGAAACACTCCAATAGTGTGATGACGTGGTATTTTAATGACATACTCATCGTGAGTGGAGATCAGAGTCAGATCTGTACAGATGTTCAGTGTAAAGAGAGATTCAGTGACAGACTGAAGCTGGATCAGTTTGGATCTCTGACCATCACAAACACCAGAACTGAAGACTCTGGAGAATACACACTACAGATCAACATCAGCACCAGCAGCTTCAGTATTACAAGGACCAGGAGCTTCAGTGTTACTGTCACTGGTGAGTGTCATTCAGTCATTTGGAAGGAAACGCACTCTTAAAGTGTAATATTAATAATCAACGGTACTTTTGTTATCACTGTATGAAACCGTGATGCACTTTAAACCGAATGAGATCCACATGATATCTCGTTGTGTTGTTATAGGTCAGTGTGACAGATTCACTCACACTAATGTCTGTCTGTCTTTAGCTGATCCAGGTTCAGGTCTGTCTCCAGGAGCCATCACAGGAATATGTGTTGGTGTTGGTCTTGTTGTTCTGCTGGCTGTAGCTTGTTGGAAATACTATCGCCACAGGAACCCTAGATGTGGTAAGTATCTCCTTAAGATATTATAATGAGAGAAAACATTTTTATTGTGCAACATTTATATTAAGTTGTGTGTGTGTGTATGTGTGATTATTTTAAGTAGACATGGAGAAAAACAGGCAGTATGCAGTCCTAGAAAAGGTAAGTTACTGCACTACTGTAGTGTATCTTTGTAGAAATCTCTGACTTAACATAACACTCAGATCTGTTTTATTGCACTTGTGCTGAAGAAAAAAATTTTTTTTTGGAAGGAAGCTTGATTTTGCCACAAAATAAAAAATCATTTATCTCATGATTCTGACTTTTATCTCACAATTGCTTGATATAAAGTCACAAATGTGTGTTATTAATTCAGATTTACATTTTATAAAGTTTTTTTTTACCCCCTCAGAATTAGAGCCAGACCGATATATCGGCCGGCCGATATTAGGCATTTTCCAAACTATCGGTATCGGCAGTTATAATGGCCGATAAATGAATATTTCAAAACAAAATAAAAACGGACGAATCACGCTTGAACCATGTCATGAGTGTTGGCAACAACCGTTGAGTTGGTCACGAGACGTACATTGCTTGAATAACAATTAAAAGACCATCCCCATCAGTTCTCTTAACTAAAATAAGCATGACAAAATTTGTGACTATCATGTCCAGTTTTGCTGCTGTTAAATAAGCCGAGAGTGAAGCGGAATTAGCTAGTAAAATTTACGTTACGTTGTTACAGTGTAGTTGACTAACTGTCCTTTTAACTTTTAACAATGTGACTGAAGTATTTCTTTAATAACACGTGACAGTTATAGCAATGAGACGCATCATCTCTCCTTGGCCTGTTATATTGAAAATATATGTTTTACAATTTGCAGTATGACATTATCCATTGCTAAATTATGGCTCATCATAGACTAGCTAACCATAAAGCTAGCTAATGCCACTATCATCAGTCTGTTCTGCTGTGACAATAAAAGAAACAAGCTTCTTTTTAAAATGCATTATCATATTATTTTAGTTAAAACTCATAAATAACTTCAAATAACTAATGTTAGGGAAATCTGTTAATGTTTTGTTGCGCGTTTCGAAAAAAAAAAAAGGCCGATATATCGGATTTTAAAACCAGCAAATATTTGTATCGGTATCGGCCTTTAAAATCCTTTATTGGTCAGGCTCTACTCAGAATTTCATGTCTATATCTTGTAATTCTGACTTTATATCTAAATGTAAACTAGCAATTGTGAGATAAAAAAGTCGTAATTATATTTTAAAATGTTTTATTCTTACGCGGAAACAAGCCTCCATAACTTATAGCCTGGGTGACAGATGTGCATATTGTTTTGGTATTTTAAGTTTCTGTGATTGTAAACAACATTTGTCCTTCTTTACTCTCTGTGATTTTCTGTTTTTTTTTTTTTTTTAGGAGACATGCCAAGGCCCACAGGATCAGGCCGAATAATTGAAACTGCAGCTCATTTGCGTTTTTGCTAACCCTCAAAAAGTGACAACTTTAACATGCTATATAAACACATCTGTGGGGTAGTTTGAGCTAAAACTGCACATACACACTCTGGGGACATCAAAGATTTATTTTACCTCTTGTGAAAAGGGCATTATAGCACCCCTTAAAGGGTAGAGCACATCCAGAGTTACGTTTATGTTATGTATTTAGGAAATCTGATTATTAATCTCATAGGACAGGATTCAGTTTACCGTTGCTCATTAACTCTTCAGCTTTATCTCAACAGCTATTGCTTTTACATGTTTGTTTGTTTTTTCATAACATTGTATCATAATTTTTTTTCCTTGCCGTTTATGTTTTCATGTCATTTTTATTTGACGTTAGGCCTTATTTTTGTCGTAAAATATTTTCATGACTGATTTCTTCGAGGGGAGGGTCTATGTGTATGTTTTTTTTCCCCAGTTCTTTTAAACTAATGAGCAAAATAAGCTTGCACAATTTGCATATGAACACGACCGGCGATCAAAACCAACAAAACACACGGAGAGCATCAGCTTTAGTTTCTGATAATAGACACAAGACCAGTCGAACGCTGTGAGTGTGTGTTAGAAATCAGGAATGGTGAGAGAACATTGTGCTTGGTACATTTTTCATCTTCAAATCAAGCTTAGGTCAGCCAAAAAAGTTTAAATGCCATCTGGCTTGCACTCTTCCTGTAATCTTTACGCATTACCTCAGGAAAGTAGACAGTCTTTTTGTAGCGCAATCCCGTCAAATGTGTGTTCAACGACTCAGGAAGTGGTCAAAAGTGGACACGTTCATAACGTTTTAGACCCCGTTTACATCTGTGTTTATCGTCGTCCACTTGTGATCCAACTGTGCAATATTTCGGCAGGTTGAATGTTTCTGGAAGCTTATTAACTTCAACTTTCATTTTCTTTTTCCCCCACTTTATATTTAAGTCACAAATAATCTACTTGTAGCATTCAGCCTTTTTTCTAAACTTTTTTTCTTTCTTTCTGCACTTTGTTCAAAGTTTGGGAAAACTGGCTGCCACTTTTGCACTTTTTCCAGCGGTTTCCCGGACCGAGATTAAGCATATAGTCCTGGACTATAGTCCTAGATTTTAGTCAAGAGTTTTAATCAGATGATTTCCTGGAGTTAATAAATTCTTTAAGTTGGTTTCAAATTAATATGGTTTATTTGAGGTCAAGGGGGCCAATAGCCATTATATTAAGACAGTGTCTTAAGAACTAGCTTGAACAACTAGCAGTTAGGAGTGATTAGTCTTACTGTTCACTATCAAATTAGACCAATGTACGTTAGTATGTAATTAACTTTAAAAAGTTATGAACAGTCTTGAAGAAAAATTGATGACTAACTTGTAAGACTAGTCTTAGCAGTTTCTGCAACTCACCCCAGGCCTCCATAGTCCAGGTGTAACTCATCTGTGTGACAGAAAGCCACAATTAACTATTCTACATTAAGGTCTACTCCTGTCTTAATTTAAACCCTGTCCCGGAAACCGTCACTTTGTTAAAATGTTTTATTTATTTTGTTTTGATTTTAGTTTCTTTCTATTTTTATTTACATGAATTGATTTTGATAAGGGAATGTGAATAAATATTACAGTCTGTGCTGATTTTGTATAAAGTGTTAAATTATATTTTTAGTGAAAATATTGCTAAAATTCTATTTTCTGTTTTAAAGTAAATTTTATAAGTTATGTTTTTATGTGGGATGTATGTAATTTCTAAGTGAATGAAATTTGAATAAATAAAACTTTCCTACTTTTAAAACAAAACAAAGCTTTCAGAATGACACTACATTTATTTTTATTTGTTTTTGCAAATTAAAGGATACAAACATTAACAATGAGAAAACCTGATCAAAAATGTATCCAAGGGTAATAGGCTATATGAACAATTTTGAAGTGAAGTTTTTAATTTTATCATGGATAAAGAGTTTGTGAGGAAAATAAACCTCAAGAAAATTTAATTAATAATTTTAGTAAATAAAGATCTACTGTAAACGATAAAATAAGCATATTATAGGCTGGATCTTTATATTGGATGGATCATTTTATGCATTTCATTAATCATTTATCTGTGAGCATCTGTGATAATCATTTAAATGTGACAAATGAATGATAGGCCCCATCACAGTTACGTCACGGCGCTAGCTGGTGGCAAAACAAATGGAAAACTGGAGGTGGCCAATACAAACCAGCACAGATTCAGCTACATAAAAGGAGCTTAAATTATTATTCTTATTATTAAATGTCATTTTGTTGTGTTGTTGGGTGCAAAACCAATGAAAAATGAATGTGCAGTATCTGAAATGTTTATTTCTAGAAAATATTAAAAATATTAATTAATCAATAATCATCATTTCATCATGTTTACCAAATGAAAATCTACAAAACAAAATGAGATTAAATTATTATTATTATTAAATGTCATCTTGTTGGGTGCAAAAATCAATGAAAAATGAATATGCTGTCTCTGGAATTTTTATTAATTAAGAATTATTAAGATTAAAATTTTTATTTTATTTTTTTGGGGGGACTTTGTTTGCCTTAAATGGACCATTGTCCACAATGGGGCGCCAAATAACAAGTGAAGTTGTCATGACGACGCGTTGACAAGTATGATTCATTTTAGCGATTCGCTTTGTTCGCGTGGCTGTCTATAAGAACCGATTCAAAGAACTGATTTATTTAACCCTCAAAAGGTCTTTGTTTCCTGTTTACAAATCTGGTCTTTGGGGTCAATATGACCCCAACAATTGATAGAGAAATTGTACAAAAACTATACATTTTTAATAATACAAATAATATATGTTTTTTTTTTTTTGTTTACTTCTTATCTATTCATTAATGCTGTGTTTTGGGAGATAAGAAGTATTTTTGTACCTATTTACAACACAATTCCTCAACCACACCATAAACTTGCAAATGAAATCTTAATTTTTTATGAAAAAATCACTTAAATAATGATCAAAATTTAATTTAAATTGCTTCTGGATATTGAGCTAGGTGCTATGTGTAGAATTACGCCATCTACTGGTTAGAGATAAAACTAAATTCTTTACAGTTTTAGAAATAAATAGTTTTGACCAGCAGAGGCAATAGAGAGCCATTCATTTTACTGCATGTGGCCTACTACTTCTGTCACAACTTTTGAAATTCATTTTATGAATTTTTATATATATATAAACATAAGAAAGGACATTTAAAATAATACATTTTTTAAATAGTATAATTGTTGTAGTTTTTGATGCATTTTGAAACGTCTGTTTTTACAAAGTGCCACAGAAAAAGGACAGCTAAATCCCACATAAGACACACCTAAAGGACAAGACTTGGAGTCAGATTTTAGTTGCACATTGTTGATTTTATTGAACAAAGTGTAAAAATAAATAATTAACTTTAGAATGCAAAATAAATAAAATAAATAATATGAAAACAAAAGCAATATGAGTGAACATCTAATCTATAATTTTTTCCAATAAAATTCTGAACTTAAAAAGCAATAACAAGCTACAAAAAACATGTAAAACAAATTGTAAAACTATAATCAGTGTGTGAGTGTGTGTGTGTGTGTGTGTATTAGGTCTCACACTTTAATATCTTTGTTCTGCATTTGTGACTGATTTCATTTGTGAGTTCTTAAAAATGCTCTCTGTGGCAGTACACTCATACATGTTTGTTTGTGTGTGTTTTTGTGTGTGTGTGTGTGTGTGTGTGTGTGTGTGTGTGTGTGAGTGAGCATGTTTTTTCTACATCACATTTATGCTCTAGTAGTAGGCATTCATTTCTGTGTGGAAATTTTCTGATTTATGATGGATTTATATATTTTTTTTGACAAATGAATAAAAAATATTTAGTTTTTTTCACATTTCCCATTCATTTCAATGTGGGGTCATATTGACCCCAAAGACCAGATTTGTAAACATTTTTTTTACACACCTTCAGAACAACCGAATCAAGCCCAGTTTTTTGTGTGTGTATAGATAGATTTTGTAGGAAAAGTCACAAAATCTTATTCCACTCAGATAAAGGAAACCATTTTTTTTTATTAAGGAAAAGTCGATTGGGGTCATATAGACCCCAAGGACCGATTGAAGTATTTCATTAATTATACTGATGTCTGATATGTTTCTACTGGTCGTAGTTTGTCCACGACAAAGTCTTTATAATTGCAGTCTTTGCTTGTTTTAAAGGGACTTTGTCCACACTGGGGCGCCAACAAGCAGTGAAGTTGTCATGAAGACGCGTTGACAAGTATGATTCATTTGAGCGAATCACTCCGTTCGCCCGGCTCTCTACACGAATCGTTTTAAAATAAAATAAAAAACGTCAAATACTGCTATTTATATCTACGGTTTCGAAATAGTGCGTTGATGATATGCAAAACTTCGCCGTTTTCTGATTCACCAAATCATCAGAATCAATTCAAAGGATCAGAATCTTTGAATCAATTCAAAGGATCGATTCGGATTTCGGACCATTTACTAGTTCCCGCCTGGAAAAATATATCAGAAAAATCTAAGCTAGAGACATAATATCTTTACTACATGTAATATGTATTATTGAAAGGCATTTAGTCTCGTAATGTAGTTACGTAGTACGTAAAGTGCGCGAGAAATCTGTCCGCGCGCACACTTCCTCGTGCAGCCGCATCACGGGAGTGGAAACACCTACAACTCGTTGACACCGAACTACACCACAGTAGAGGAAGAGAGATAGAGAGGGAGAAAGGGGGCGGTGAATCGTTTGCCACCCGCATACTTTCTTTCTAAACGTCCTCTTCTCTCCCGAATCTCTAGTTTTCCCTCTAACATGGCTGCGCTCTCAGCCTGGTTCTGGAACGAGCGCTTCTGGCTTCCGCACAATGTCACTTGGGCGGATCTGGCCGACCCCGCGCCCGGCGTGGAGTACCCGAAAGCCGGCCACTTGCTCTCCGCGCTGCCGCTGGCCTTGGGGATATTCGCAGTGCGGATAATATTCGAGAGGTATGGTTTTAGTTTGATGGCAAGCTATATAATGTGTTTGGCATTCATTTGACCATCAGAGAAATAGCCCAAACTCTACTGATATTCAATTTCTATCGTTTAAACTCGCATCACGTGCTTCCAGGTCTTAAAGTGTAAACGGTTATGGATGCACGTGTCTTAACTTTTAAATGGAGATGTTTTGGTGGGTGCATTTGGGCTGGTTGAACATGAGAGACATTTCAAGCCTCCTGCTCATGAACTCCCAGCCAGATGCATCTGTCAGCTGACCAGCTTAGGGCCTAGACTCGGAAAAGAGGATTGCATTTATTGTTCTTTGCTTTAACGTCTTAATTCACCACTACCTTCACAAACTCATTCTCTCTCATGCTTCTTAGGTGACTATAATATCAGGTAGTAGTGTCCAAAATGAATGATAAATGAACAACACACATTATGAGCCTGTGCTGCATGCATACTGTATGAATAAGTACAGGTTCTTGTCTTAAGTATGCTTTGAATTCAAGCGTGCTTAAGTGGTAATAATGACATGAGTTTGTGTCTCACTGTGGGAAAGCTAAGTTAGGTTTTTTAAAGGGGTAGCGCACTCACAAATTGTGTCATCATTTGATCACCCACATGATTCTTGCACAATTTTTACTCATTCTTATGTGGAAAACGACTGGAGAGCTTTGTTAAAATGTTCACGCTGCTCTTTTCCATACAATGTAAGTGAATGGGGCCAAGCTTTGAAAATTAGGGGGTACTTTTTTTTTTTTAGCTCATTTATCTATACCAAATGGCTTTTAGAAGAGAGCGCACTACATATGTAGACTACTTTATCAGTTTGGGTGTGAGTAATTGATGACAAAATCCAAATATTTCGGCGAACTGCTCCTATTTCTAATTTTCATCATTAATAATTGCACTATGTAAGTTGCACCAAACCCCAGGTGTTATAACATGATTCTGTAATGTAAGATCCACCGCCACACGTTCTGGTGTTGTGTTTCTGCTGGAAGCGCATTTAGCGTCTTGAACTACTAATATTTTGGATTTAGGGCTAAGAATAGGCTGTTGTTAAAAAAATAATAATAAGAAGAACTTGCCTGGATAAATTAAGGTTAACTAAGAATAGGCTACATAAACATTCCAGAGTTGAACGTTTGGTGGGTGGGTTCTCGTTTGACGTCTATAACCCAGTTTGCATAAGAAAAAGTGCCTGATATGCTTACAAAGAAGTACAGTGTTATTAGATGGAACTGTTTAGCATATTGCTACTATATATATATATTCATGTTTCATTGCTTTAAAGGTGCTTAAGGGGATTATGTCCAAAAACAACTTATTTGTTAGAGTGGCTTAGGTTGATGTAATGATAAGAATGAAGATCTCGAGGAACTTGTTAGGAGAAACTTCTTAATTCGTTCTCTTCTCTTTCTTACCGATCCAGCTGAGGTGAAAGTATTTTGTGGCTGTGAAGTCTGGTCACACCGGTTCTGTTTAAACGTTTCAAAATGTACATTTGACAAGTTTCGCTCATGGTTTGTGGGCTAATCACTAAAAATAGCAAGCGAAACTAGTCCTCAGAACTAGCTCAGGTACAAGACATCCTCAGTGTGGTTGGTTTCTTCTGATAACTGTGATACTTTGAAATATCTATGTGCATAAGGAGAATTTTTTGGTTTTTAAGTTTGAAATATAAGATTGAAGAAGTATACAAGTATTGTTTGGGTTCAGTTTTGCCTCGGTTGGATATCGTTGTCTTCATGGTTGTAAGGTTTACAATGTAAGACCCATTGTGATTTCAGTATCAACGAGATGCTTTTATTGGTTTACTATTTTGAATTAATTTTTACTTTTAGATTTTTAGGTTTCATTGTAAAGTTTTAGTGTTTAATTGTGTTTTTGTCATTTTTATTATTTTTTTACTAAAGTTTGAATTGATAAATGAAATTTAGTTTTAATTTAGTTATTTTAAAACATCACGTTAAACTAAATGAAAATAAGAAATGTTGCTTTGGCATTTAGGTAGATGAAGAAAATCGTTTTTATTATGGTTTCTTCTGAAAATTGATATCTACGGAGCTCCTAAAGGGACATGGTGATTGAATAAAATATGGAATGGGGTGACAAATTGTATATTACTGCTTTTGTGATCTCTAGCAAATGTTTTGCGTTCCCTGAAGAACTTTGCATTCGCTCGCAAAGAAAAGTTTTGCGAATTAATGCAAAGCTTTTGGAAGCGAACAAAACAGTTATTTGGTTTTATCAGTTTTGTGAGTGAACGCAAAGTTACTCGGTTGGAACGTAAAAGTTTTATGAGCAAATGCAAAGTTTCTTGTTTGGAACGTAAAGTTTTACGAATGAACGCAAAGTTTCTCGGTTGGAAAGCAAAGGTTTTACGAATGAACGCAAAGTTTCTCGGTTGGAAAGCAAAGGTTTTACGAATGAACGCAAAGTTTCTCGGTTGGAAAGCAAAGGTTTTACAAATGAACGCAAAGTTTCTCAGTTGGAATGTAAGTGTTTTACGAATGAACGCAAAGTTTCTCGTATGAAACGTAAAGGTTTTACGAATGAACGCAAAGTTTCTCAGTTGGAATGTAAAGGTTTTACGAATGAACGCAAAGTTTCTCGTGTGAAACGTAAAGGTTTTGTGAATGAACGCAAAGTTTCTCAGTTGGAATGTAAAGGTTTTACGAATGAACGCAAAGTTTCTCGGTTGGAAAGCAAAGGTTTTACAAATGAACGCAAAGTTTCTCAGTTGGAATGTAAATGTTTTACGAATGAACGCAAAGTTTTTCTTATGAAACGTAAAGGTTTTACGAATGAACGCAAAGTTTCTCAGTTGGAATGTAAAGGTTTTACGAATGAACACAAAGTTTCTGGGTTGGAACGTAAAGCTTTTGTGAACAAATGGAAAATTTCTCGGATGTAACAAAGGTTTCGCACGCAAATGAGAAAGGAAAGCATTGAAAAATGTTTTTTTCAAAAAACGTTTTTTTTTTTTTTTTCGTGACAGTGAAGTCTGGTCACGCCGGTTCTGTTAAAACGGTTAAAAATGTACATTTGCCAAGTTTCGCTCGTGTGGTGTTTTTTTCTCCCATCCCACCTTGTCCCTTTAGCAGTTTAGAAGTTAGATTTACCTTCGGGGGAACCTAAAGCTTCAGTTTGTGGATTAGCCAGTCTTAAGACTCTGGACAGACCTCATTCTTGTAGAAGAGCTTGTAAATATTCATTATGTCCCCTCGAGGAACGTTCAGTTGATGAATTGATGGTTTCTGACACCAATCACTCAGTGTCATGCATGAACATACTACATTGGCTCTCAGTGAATTGGACCTCTTTTGTTGTGCAGGCCAACTTGAGCGTTGTCAGGCACGCACCCCTGTCACGTTTCACGATGATCTTCATGTCTCGGGCCTGACCGAGCCCCTGAGGAGGCCAATTAGCATAGTTGGTCCAGAGGGGGTTGGTCTGGTTTCAGGAGGACGATTGCATGCAGTTGGTCAGGATGACATCAGCAGTCTCTCTCTCTCTCTCTCTCTCTCTTCATTTATTCATCAGCGGTGACTGCAGCTCACAGGTAGTGTTGATGTGCTTTAACATTGAGGAGTTGCAGTACACTTGAGCCCTAATCGCACGGGATTAGCATTATCTAGGGACCTCGTGTGATTTAGAAATTACCCCCCCACTTCTGAGTTTCGTGTGGCGCATTCGCACGGGATAAACGAAACCAGTGATTTTACTCTAATTTACTGACTTATCTCCCGAATATGATGTCAATCAATAGGACATTGCTTGGAATTTGGAAATGTCTTGTCGTTAATATAAGTCCAGCTGTGTGATATATCATTTTAAACAGAATAATGTTCCATATTATTATTATTATTATTACTGCATGCGTCATCTATTTCCATCTAATCGATCTTTTTGTTTTCCCTCTTCCGATGGTTCTCAGCTTTCTCTTTCTGCAAATTGTATCATGTAGTTATAGCGATATGAACCAGCACCCAAAATACTGGGTGATGGAAGATGGATAAAAAAGCGCACATGAAACAAGAATCTTAAAAAATTAAATAGCCTACTACTACGACCCCGCCAAATTAAAGAGATGCCGATTCGCACGGGACTGATATTATCACTGGATCTCGTTGTTCGGTGAAATATGGCAGGTCATATGCGGGGGATTTTTTTTACGCTATGGTGTTGCTATGGTGTTGCTAGGGTAATCTGTGTGGTTGCTATGGGTTGGAAGGCGGTTGCTAGAGTATTCTGCGGATTGCTAGGGTGTTGCTAGGCGGTTGCTAGGGTATTCTGGGTGTTTGCTAGGGTGTTCTGGGTGGTTGCTGGGGTGTCACTAGGGTGTTGCTACGGTGTTCTAACTGCGATTCGCATGGCATTAAGATCAAGACAATCTCTGCAATATTGCAAATTACTTTAGAGGGTGTTTAACACCTAAACCACAGATTGCGTTTTTCAACGATGAGAATTTATGCCCTAGTGTTTGATTTATATTACACTTTTATTACTCGTAGTGTTAAGTTATTTATAAAGAAAATGTTTTAGTTTATAATTCTGGTCTTGTCACCACATGTTTAATCTAAATCTTTTTTTTGTTAAGGCACAAAAAGTTGCATTCAATTGAAGTGTGGGTTTGGCTCAATTTTACATGGTTTATGTGTTTATTTATTCCCTGAGAACATTCATTCACTCCGGAACAATTACTCACTCACACACACTCACACAAGGTCTTATTCACACTGCACTTGTTTGGGCTCATTCTCTCAAAGGAATGTGTTGAACCATCGTGCCGATAACATAAGATCATAATGACTCCTCTTGAGTGACTTTGGCTGTCAGAGACGGTTGCTCAAGAGGTTACGGCTCTGGAAATGTGTCATCACCCGTTTCCAGGATCCTTTCCTCTAGAGTTCAGTCTGTCACTGAATAGTTAATGCTGTAGTTCTCCTTCACACAACTGTTGTACTGTGGGTCAATGGGTTTTGCCACAGTTGTGT